GGTTATCAAATTTTAAGTTTGTTTGCTTTTGGTGAATAACCTTGCAATATTGTGAAACTTATTTGATCTTTGTCCCTGTTTCTGGCATACAACTCCTATAACTGAAGTGATGTCTTTGTATACTGATATGACTGTTGACGGTAGACCCTTGGTAGCTTCAGTATGGGGACTAGTCATGGGAAACTCCAAGGTAGAACTAGAGGGTTGGGCCCTCAGCTGCATTTCTCAGTCACCAGGAATAGTAGATGAGCTGAAGGTTAAGCTGATCACCAATGGCAAATTATTTAATCAATCTTGCCCATGTAATGAATTTCCATGAAGACTCCAAAAGGACAGGTTTCAGAGCTTCAGGATACCCAAATACCAGGGTAGTTCCTGGGAAGACACAAAAGCTTTGTCCCCCCTCCCCCATCCATCTCTTCATGACATTCATGCTTATCCTTTGTAATATCCTTTACAATAAAACAGTAAATGTGTTTACCTGAGTTGTGAGTTAATCAAACCCAAGGAAAGCCAGTAGGTCAGAGACATAGGTAAAAAAAAATCCAGGGCTTGTTATTATTATCTGAGGCGGGGAGGACTGCAGCCTTGGACACTGAAACCACCTTTGGAATCTGATACTAGCTTTAGGTAGACAGTTATCAGAATCGAATTGGAGGCCACTCAGCAGGTTTCTGCTACAGAACTGATTGCTTGAATTGTGTGTGGGGAAGATACCCTGCCTACTTGGTCAGACATTGTCTGTGTGGACTTTTACTTAATATGCTCTACGAACCCATTTAGCAAATTCAGAGAAATCCCAGGCAGGGAATACAGCTTGATGGTAGAGTACTTGCTCAGAACCCTGGTTAATCCATAATGTCACAAAGGAAAAAAAAATCCATTATTTTTATTCCTGAGATATCTAAAATAATAAATTTATATGCAATAAGCTTTTATTGAATTCACAAAATCCAACTAATTCTCTATCTTATAGTAATCAGAAAAGGACCTCAAGATTTTGGTGCCACTTTTTGATCTACTATTATCAACCTGTAAATTGAACAAAACATGGATTGGAATAGTAAGGGAAGTGATGAAGTTGGATTGGGGATATAGCTCAGTGGTTGTAGAATGTTTCTCAGCATGTTTGAGTCCCTGGGCTTGATCCCCAGCACCACAAAAAAGAAAAAAAAAAAACTGAACAAATTAGCCAGAGGTATAAATATTTAGTTCACTTGTAGGCCTCTGCATAGTACAAAAGAACGTCTACTGAATGGGATTTTGGCAATTTTCACTTTTGACAACTGATTTACCATTAGAAAATGACTTCTTCAGCACAGGTTTGTGACAGGTTTTACTTGCTAAGAAATGCAACTTCATACGTGGAATGATTAAACATATTCATTCAGATCAACCAAAAAGACAAAATCAAAAAGTGAACAAGGCATATCTTTTCCTCATATATCACAATTAAGTTTAAAAAAATCAAAATTTTAGAAAGGAATCAACATTAACAAAAATTCATAAAAGCATTACAAAGTTTGAAAAGAATCAATTGTATACTTTGGTGGAAGTTGATTCATATTTTATTTTCTAATTGCAGTTTGCATCTGATTTCTTTACAGTATTCCACATGATGGGAAAGGAAACCTCCAAACCAGTCAGTACTAATTAGTTGTCATGAATCTATAGTAAAAGGACATAAAAGGACTCACCAAAGACTTAAAAATGAAATATCAGAGCCATGAATATTGGTAACTATAAACTTTCTCTAAAGAAATATAGAGCAGTTGTTATTCTATAAAATATCAAGCAACTTTGAGTCTTTCATCTTTTAGTCTTATGCTGAATTAAATAAGGTTGGTAGCAATTACTTTAAATATCATGTCCACATAAATATACAAATATATACTCTACATGTTCTTTCTATCACAGTAATCAAAGACTGCAAGCAAAAGATATGGTAGAGAACATAGAAGACATGCATCTTCTATCTTACACAGTCCTGGGTATCAAAGTGAAAAGAGGCAGACACTGCTCTAAGTGCATTACACATATAAAGATCTATTGTTATTAATCCTCCCAACAATTCAGAGAGACAGGTACTATTCTCATCATCCCTATCTTACAGGTAAGGAGCCTGAAGCTAAGAGAAGCTGGAAAAGGCACCCATGGTTACCTGTGGTTCAGGGCAGTGGAGGTTTTAGGTACAGGCCACCCGATCCCAGGGCTTCTGCGCTTTTCTTCCTAGCACACTGCCTCACAAGGAACAAGCAGGTGGGTGGGCAAATTCCAATATACTCTCTGAATTGCTCAGTTTATTCTATACCTGAGAGTCTAATATCTCTTCACACTTAGATACTAAGAATTCAGATTTCGTTGTTTTCTGAACAGGAAGGAAAAAAAAGATGACAGTTTAAGGTAAACCCAAACACAAAAGTGGTATGAAAAAGATCATGGAAAAGTTAACAGAATAAATGAAACTTACCCTTACTAAGTAGGAAAAAGATAAACATAAGGTAACATAAAGAACCTCATTTTCATTCTGATACTTTAACTGTCAAGCCATAGCCAATACTGGATGTCGATATATCTGCACACAATATGAATCGAGTAGAAATCTAGCTAGGTATTTTATTCAAAACATGCTTTTACCTATTTATTCAGTCACTCTGAAGTCAACAATGACAGCAGTTTATAGCTATTAAAGATGTTATTCAACATCATAAGTTAATGGTTATATAAGATAGATGAAATTTAGTTTAATTACAAGCCAGACAGTTTTTCAGCCATGATTCCATAGATGCGATGAGTAAACCAATGGCTGTTTTTCAATAAAATATAAAAATTGTCATCATGCATAGTGTACAGGCTCCTAAAGAAGTGGTCTTTTTAAAAGCTGGATGTTCAAGAAAGATTCAACAAACAACTAAATCTTGGCACAACTTTTTACATGAATTCTTGGTTTGGTTATTCAGCCACTTTAGTAACATGATATGTATATACTCTAACTGGAAGTAGAATAAACTGCATGAAAAATGAAACCTTCTCAAATTGATTAGTAATAACTATTATACCCTCTTAGCATTAAGAAGCATTATTCTTAGATTTTAAGCCTTTTATTTTTCTTTCTGGGCATTGCTTATAGCATTGTAATATGGGAATCAAAGAGTATAACCCAAAACAACAACAAAAAAAAACAACAAAAACATCAAGAGTTTTGAGGACCACTCACTCCCATGCCTTATTTGAAGTAAAATCAGATCAACAAAATTATAGTTTTCACATCATAAAATTCCTCCAAGTAGCACTGCATGAGGTATAACCTTACCTCAAATATTTAATCATTATCATTCCACATTTTTTCAGGAGGCAACAGCAATATACTGGGTCGTTACTACCCAAGCATGAAAAAATATACCATCAGTAAATACATGAATTGGGGACATAGCTGTAATTTTTAAAAACTCTTGTTAGAGGATGTAAGTAGAAAAACTAAATTTTGAGTTGTACTATCCCTACCAGGAACTATATTACAAATGCAGAGTTCAGTCTTGGTAAAATTACATGGAAGATCTAAGGTACAATGTAAGTTTAGCAAAACACTTTTAGGTATAGAAACCTAAATATCTCATATTTTGATTACTGATGAAGACAATCACTAAAACTCTCCAAGGCTGGTTTCTCATGAATACTAAAAACCAGCCCCTGGTCTCAGATGCATTCCATCCAGATAAATGTTCAGAAACTTCATAGAATAAGAAACAAACCACAATGAGGCACTCTATACTGTTCTAATAGTGTTTTATGGTACCTCAGATTTTAAATTCAGTTTTTACACTTAGGAAATTATAATTGAGTGGGATTAGAGAAGCTCTGCTTGTTTTTTTAAGCCATATGAAGGTTTATTACCATGTGTATTACTTTTCATCACTGAAAAAAAATCTCTGGAGACCAATGGAATAGAACTTCAACAAGCAACACAAATAGATCTGTTTTAAAATCGTATATGATTATAATGTGGCTAGTGAGGTTTGAAGAATTGACAATGAAAAACTAAAGGCATACCTACACTCCTAACACAGAGGAAACTTTCCACATAATAAAATACATCCTTAATACAAAACAAGATATAATATACTCTGCAGCATGATGTTTTCTTTATTATATTTTTTAGCTATAGCTCTTCCATTCAGAAACTGGAGACCATGTTTTCATTAAGTTTGTGATTTTTCCTTCTTATTTCCCCAGGTTAGAGATAGGTTGAAAAGGCTTAATTTGTACAAGTTGTTATGAATTTAAATCTTCATTTATATATTTTAAGTGTGAATAAAGCATTCAAAATGTAGCTTGTACATGACTTCTAAAAATAAAATAACACTTTTAACATAATCTTTCTGTTCTGCAAAAATATTCTACATACATATGATCAAAACAATCTTTTCCTATTTAGGAAATTTCCTATGCACAGTAATTGAGGGGGAAAAAAAAAAATACCTATATTTCCAATGTTAAGATAGCTGGGTGCCACCTAGTGCTCAATTTCTGTAACTACCACCTTTACAAATTAAAATTTGCTATTATAACCCAGGTTCTAAAACTACGTTTTAGAAATATTCCCCATCCCCCATGGTTACGATGGCAAAATAAGATCAGGAAAAGAATGTACATGATATCAAAATTAGTGTAAAAGTAAATGCTACTTAAATATGAAAAAACAGGAGTATTGTTTTGACTTCAAATGCAGATTTCTTTTTTTTTTTGAGAATTTTAATATTTATTTTTTAGTTTTTGGCGGACACAACATCTTTGTTTGTATGTGGTGCTGAGGATCGAACCCGGGCCGCACGCATGCCAGGCGAGCGTGCTACCGCTTGAGCCACATCCCCAGCCCTCAAATGCAGATTTCTGCCTCCTTCAAAATTTTTAGGGAACATTTGGTAACTGGAATATACAGAAAAATTCTGTATAGTCAACAGGCTAGTCAAAAGTAGGGCTTAATTATAATTCACAACAAGTACAAGGCAAATGGTTTATTCAAAACATCCATTTACTTACTGCAAGTGGTCAAAGTAGGAAAGGCAGTAATGTATTTTTTTTTCTTTTTTCTTTTTTTAAATAGATGTGCTCTTCTATCCATAAGCTCCATTACATCAATAGCACAAAATGGGCTTAATGTTTCACTTAAGATAATTCAGCATTATCAGTTTTAAGGAAACAAATACCTTAGAAACAAATCAGTCTGCCTTAACAAATCACAATCATGCTAATGAAAATTTAATCTTCTTTTAGGGTTATGGCCAAAATCCAAACTGCAGGAAAATCTTCCGAAAAACTGGAATGTAAAGTGTTGAGTTCGATTTAGATCTGAAAAGGAAAAGAACATCAGGTCAAAGAAAACAACAATTATCCTCAATTCTAGTCTGCTATCAGTCCCTCTTTATGCTCTCCTTTGTAATGTTTATGTTATACAGAATATTCTTAATAGAGTGTATCCTTCCTTCCTTTCTTTTGTGCTAGTGATCTGAGATTTTATATTGTGGGAGCATTATCTCTTTAAGAACTGGACAAGCATCTCCTAATTCTCTTCTTCTCAATATGATTGTAGGAATATAGCTAGAAAACCTCTAGAGAGATGTCTAGAGAAAAAGGTATTGTTCTCAGGCGATTTAGCACACCCTTACAAAATGCTCAATAGAAATCAATTACCTTTAATAACCACTACCTGAGTCTGCTGGGCCCAGTTTTGAGATGGTATGGGCACAGAATCAGAAATTCTTTTGAGAAAATCTTGCTTTGCTTAGATCCTCAACCTATCACTTCAGAGTGTGTGGCTTCACACTCATGCATTTTCTCTGGTTAAGTTCCTGAATTTTCTAAAGAGGCTTTCTATTTGAGCACAGCCATCAAAAATATTTGGATCAGTTCTTAATTCTTAACACACTGGCTACATGTCAAGTTCTTGTCACTTGAATATAACTGTTAATTCTACTGTCGTAACAGTTGTTAGAATCTTACCTCAGGATCTCCAAAGTGAAGTACATTAAAAAATAATAAAACAATGCGTTTATTTTTCTCTTTTCATTTTCTATTTGGGGGTATGCTTTAAAATGTACACAATGATAGTTGTGTACATTGAGTTTAATTCTTGGTGTGAGTATTCTGAATGATTTGGAGATGCACTGAAATGTAAGATGGACTGAAAGATGAATTGAGATATATGATTAATCAAGTATCTACAGGTTCTGGACCCACTGATTTTAACCAACCACACAGAGGAAACATTTCAAAAAATGTGGTCTGTATTCAACATGTATACTTGTCATTAGTCCCTGAACAATACAGCATTACAAATATTTACTGAGCATTAACATTCACACTGTATTAGGTATTAGTAATCTAGAGATGACTTAAAGTATTTGAGAGGACACACACAGGTTATATAAAATACTACACCTTTTCATAAGGAGTTGAATACCTGTAGATTTTTATATCCTTGCAATGTGTGTGTTGTGTGTAGGTATGTGTCTATCTGTCTGTCCTGAACTATGATCTGAGATGATTGTACAGAAGCGTTAACTGTAGAATCTTGGCGGTGGGTATCACTTGTGGAGCCTAAATCAGACGTCCCCAAGACTGGCCTTGGTATCTCTTAAAAGCTCTGGCAATTCTATTACAGAATCTTGGTCAGCAACAATTACTCTAGGTATTTTGAAATTATATATTTGAATCAAATCAAATATTATTAGTTTTGATTATGTACATAGATACTTTGGGAACCTTATTTCACATGTATAGGGGATTGAAAAGCAGGGCTTATGATTATGATTACAGTGTCTGGCATTCATATTGCCAAAGCAAACATTTTTAGGAGGAAATATTGAAAAGGGCTGTTTAGAGTTCCCAAAATAAAAATAACAGTTTGGTTATTTTGTAAATAATTCTAAGGACTTTAATTCATGGACAGATCCAAAATATACTCATCTAAGTGTTCCATATTCCCAGAATAAATGAAACTTAGTGCAAAGGGCTGGCTTTACCATGCATAACTCATCAACAGAAATCAGAAAATGCAGAGTGCATCTACTTACATCATCAATGTCCTCATCATCATCTCCAATGTCATCAAACTGAATTTCATCATCATCTCCAGGACCAAATGTATCAGTTTCATTGATTTTAGCTGAAGACACAATAACAAATTGAAGTATACAAGGAGACTCTCATAAGTCAATGTTTAGTTTAATTTAATCAAAGTTTTCATCATAAGGAAAACTTTCCAAACTTCTACCTACCGACACTACTATACAGAACAAATTTCCAAGCAAGGTTATAGCTTTGTCAAGACAGAGTATTTATGTTATAATTATCTTTTGTCCACAGGGGTATTTTTAGCAAGGCAGGCTCTAACTATACTAATTCTGAAGCTATTTACAACTTCCAGGTAGACTTCAAAAAATGTTTGAGCACATACTAACAACTCTATTTCTTTAAGGAAAGCTGGTTTGCATTGATGTTTGAGTCATCAACCAGAAAGATTTGGTCAAATCATGCTTAGGCCTACAACAATCACATGCTATTCCTATTTCCAGATATATTACCATTTTCTATGTCACAAAGGCTAAGTAAATAATTTCAGTGGAATTTTCATGATTACATAAGACTGTTTCCATAATAAAATACAATGGGTCAAAAAATAAAAATAACTGCTAAGCAAAAAAAATGTAGGCTTACAAATTAGTATACAAAGTACATTTCCCCTATGATGAGATTATGAAAGATTTAATTTTTTAAGTTTTCTGCATAAAAAATGCATTACTTGCTGGGCATGATGGCATACACTTGTAACCCTAGCAACTCAGGAATCTAAGGCAGGAGGATCACAAGTTCAAAGCAACTCAGCAACTTAGCAAGACCCTGTCTCAAAATAAAAAAGAGCTGGGAACATGGCTCAGTGTTTAAGTGCCTCTGGGTTTAATCCCTGGTTTGAAAAAAAAGGAGGGGGGAGCATTACTTTTGTATTTGGAAGGAGTGGAACTAAGAATATTAGTTCTAAAATTTTACAGAGGGCTGGGCCTGTAGCTTAGAGGCAGAGTGCTTGCCTAGCATGCAGGAGGCACTGGGTTCAATCCTCAGCACCACATAAAAATAAACAAAATAGGGCTGGGGATGTGGCTCAAGTGGTAGCGCGCTCGCCTGGCATGCGTGTGGCCCGGGTTCGATCCTCAGCACCACATATAAAACAAAGATGTTGTGTCTGCCGAGAACTGAAAAAGAAATATTAAAAAATTAAAAAAATTAAAAATAAAATAAAGGCATTCTGTCCATTTACAAGAAAAATTAAAAAATAAAAAAAAAGTCTTATAGGATGCAATGATACAGGGACATAATGGATTGAAAACTGATTTTTTTTCTTGTGGCGCTGGGTATCCAGCCCATGGCCTTGCATATACTAGGTCAAGTGCTCTACTGAGCTCCACCCCCAACTCTCCTCCAAAGGAATTTTTAAAAAGTACTATAACAAAATTATTCCTTTCACTGGCATTATACAGAAGTTAAAGGTTTATAATACAATGAACTTACTAAAACTGTATTTTAGCAGGAACAGAATTCAGTAATTTCTCTTTTATAGTATCTAGTATTATGACATAAGCAGGCATTAAAAGTAACCAACTAAGCAGACAAAATCCACAAAATTCTACAAAAATTCCTCTACCTAAACACTGATAACCCAAACACCATATGACAAGTGGCATTACCATGCTCCGGAAGCTCGCCATAAGCCTTCAGACTTCTAGCTTCATCTGCATTGTATTTTAAAATAACATCAGCTTTGTTATCCTTAAATAGAAACAAGAATTTTAGAACTGATTACACATACAAAAATATTATCAGTTATTTTATAAATTATTTTTGAATTGAATAACAACATCAAGTCTCACTGTTCTGTTATAAACCTTCTTAAAAGTTTTCTCCTACCTTTGAAAAACATCCTTGGGTTTAACCCAGAAGGAAGTAGGTTACGTGCATGACTAAATAATGAGCTTAGGAAAGATATTTACTGATCTTACTTTAAGAACAGAACTGTGAGCTGGGCTTGGTGGCGCAGGACTATAATCCTAGTGGCTCAGGAGGCTAAGACTGGAGGATCACGAGTTCAAAGCCAGCCTCAACAACAGTGAAAAGCAAGTCAGTGAGACCCTGTCTCTAAACAAAATACAAAATAGGGCTGAGGATGTGATTCAGTGGTCAAGTGCCTTGAGTTCAATCCCCACCCCCACCCCCCACCCGGTAAAAAGAACCAACCCCAGCCCCCTCTTTAGGTATTTCTGATACAAAAGTTCCACTGACAAATACTGCCTTAAAGTTTACACTTCCCCATTTGAAATGAATGACTCAATTAAGGAAGAAAACTGATCACTTCAGCCCATTGGGATCTTGTTAAGGTGCATGATCTGATTAAAGAGGCTTGGGACTAGGGTCCAACAAGATCCCAAAAGACAGTGATGCTACTGATCTCTGGGCCACCCTTTAAGCAGCAGGGGTATAGAAGGATCATGGGAGATTGCTAGTCAGAATGTTACTCCTTTCAGAACTTTGGTGTCCTTTCTAATGGGGAATTAATTTTTCTTCCTACTTCTGGGGTTAAGATCAAAAGAAGAAGATGGATATTAAAATGGTTTATGAATTTAAAGCAGGCTTTCTCAACCAAGGCAATAATGATCATTATGAACAGGATAATTCTTCGTTGTGGGATGCTATCCTGTGCCTTGTAGGATATTCAGCATCACCTCCAGCCTCTAACTATTATGCCAGTAACACTATCCACCTCTCACAGTTGTGACAATCAGAAAAGTCTCCAGGTGCTGACAAATCCTAGAAGGACAAAATCACCCAGAGTTGAGAACCCAATGATTTAAATAATTCTTTATTGGGACTATAAAAATACAGATACTATCAAATGGAGATGAGTTCTAAAAGGTAAAAGTCAAGTGGATCTCCCAGATCCATAAAGTTCAGATCATAAAGGGCAACTACCATTTTCTTCCCCAGGTACTCATCTACATTTAAAGCATATATTTATATCAATAGTGTATGCATTTTGTAATTACTCACATGCCTGTTTTATTCTCATAACAGGCTATATGCCTTTTCTGGGATGGGCACCTGACTCAGTATATGCCCTACAGTAATGGTTCACAGGTTTTTATTTAAGACTTATACATTTTAAAAACTTGGGGAAAGAGGCTAAATGTAAGATTATATTTTTATTTCACCATCTAAGAACGATAAACCACCAGGATATATTATGGCTCATTCCAAAAAAGGGGAAAACTTTTTAAATATTAAAAAAAAAGAGAAAACAGATCGTTTAGCTTTTAAAAAAACTTTATGTATGTATTAACTCCACAGATGGGCATTTGGAAAACATAATCCCTGGAATCATCAAAATTTTACCTGGTAGTCTCGAAGACCAACCAATATGATGTCTGAAGTATTTATCCAAACCTACAAAAGAAAAAAATCATTGTACAACATATTTAAAATAAAAATGAAGAGACTGTGAACCACTCCAAGTGGTTATCTACTAGAGAATAGAAAATTATGTGGTTTTATTTTCTTCTGTATTCCACCTACCCACATATACACAGCTCCCTTTAGTTTGGGAACAGAGGATTAATAGTACCAAATTTTAAAAAGTCACAAAATCAGAGCTGGGACTTTTTTTTTTGTGCAAGAGATTAAACATAGGGACATGCTAAGCACAGCTCTACCACTGAGCTACGCCATCAGTCCCAGTGAGTGATGCCTATTCAAATTTTATTAATATGCTTTATAGCCATCCCACTCAATACAGAATCCAAAATAGGTCTACCTATCAGGTCCCTTATGGCTTCTTAAAACAATAGTTCCCAGCCTGTCCCCCCCTTTCATAACATTAACATTTTAAGATTTTTTTTTTAGTTATAGATGGACACAATATCTTTATTTAATTTATTTATGTGGTACTGAGGATTGAACCCAGTGCCCCATGCATGTGAGACAAGCACTCTACCACTAAGCCATAACCCCAGCTCAACATTTTAAGAGGTTATTTGCTTTGTAGAATGTCCCTCAATTTTCACTTGTTGGCTATTTCCTCAATGCTTCAGATTCAAGTTAAATATACTGGGTAGGAATACAACATAGGCAATGCAAAATATTCTTTATAAACAATGGAATATATATAAAATTACCAGCAAGACACTGTCATTTGACTAACAGGTAAATTGCTAAGCCCATAAAAACTGCAGGTGTGTGTGGGGGTAGGGGATATAGCTCAGAATTAAAGAGTGTGCCCTGGGGTTGAGCCTTAGCACTCACCCCACCACAAAACTATAGAGGCATTCCCTCACCAATTTTATATTAGATTAAAACAAATCTCCACACCTACCTTTTTTCTCAATTTCCCTCTGATGTGACATAACCTCTTTACACCATCGAAACACATTGCTTCTAATCGTCCATTTCCCAACATTTTGATTACTTGAGCATACTCTGGGGAGGTGGAAAAAAAGGAGGGTATGAAATACTGAACAATTTTTGATAAAAGTAACTTAAATACATGCAGTAAAAGTATAAATGCAATGAAGGAGTTATAAATACCACGCTAGTTAATGGTAGAGCCAGAACCAAGACTCTGTAATGCCATTTTTATAACTTGTACCTATTAGACATGTTTTAGTTATCTATTCATTTTGAATAAGTAGACTGTTGTCTTTATGACTGTATGCTCTATTTCTGGAGATCAAAGGTGGTTTATCCCAAAATGAATATTATACATCATAAATCTCTCACATTCTTTTACTCTTTTCTCTTAGAGCCTTTAGAAGCAAAACTCAAGGAGAGTTCTTAAAGCCAGAAAGGTGTTTCCAAGTAAAACACCAATTTTTTTTGGTGGTATTGGGGAATGAACCCAGGAGTATTTTGACTCTGAGCTACTTCCCCAGCTCTTTTTAAATATTTTGAGATGGGGCTTGCTAAGTTCACCAAGCTGGCCTCCTGTCTCAGCCTCCCAAGTAGTTGGGATCACAGGTATTTGTCCAGTTTAAAATGCCAAATTGTTATTTATTTTGAACTCAGGGGCACTTAACCACTGAGCCACATCCCCAGCCCTTTTTTATTTCTCTGAGACAGGGTTTTATTAGTTGCCTAGGGTCTCACTAAATTGCTGAGGCTGGCTCTGAACTTATGCTTCTCCTGCCTTGGCCTCCTAGGCTGCTGGAATTCCAGATGTGTGCCAACATGCCGTGCGTGCAAAATGCCAAATTTTTAAATAGAATCTTTTCAAATGGGTACCCAGGTAGTTACCCCATTTCACTGCCAATAGAAAATACTCTGAGAAGATTATGTGACCCAAGGATGGTGGTAGTAGCACGTGGGACACAAGACTTCAGACACTTTAGGTTACCCATATAACTGATCCCCAAAGAGGATATACACCAACTTGTAAACATACTGAGAATATCTGAAAGGCTCAACCATGGGGCTGATGTGTAGAAGTGAGTTATTCAGACTACAGTGAACCTAGTGCCTTAGGAAGACTGGTCCATTCAGAGGCAGTCTCTCTTTAAAGCAGAAAAAAAAAACATGAAAAAAAGTATTGTCTGCCTAAATAAACACAACTGATAATAGAGGCAAAAGTTACTGAAGCTAAGAAATGAAAGGTCTTGTCAGGCATGGTGGTGCATGACTGTAATCCCAGCAACTCAGGAGGCTAAAACAGGAGGATTGCAAATTCAAGGTCAGCCCCAGCAACTCAGTGAGACTCTAAGCAACTTAGTGAGACCATGTCTCAAAATAAAAAAATAAAAGAGCTCGGGATGTAGCTTAGTGGTAAAGACCCTGGGTTCAATCCTCAGTATACCCCCACCCCACAAAAAATGATCTTTTAGCCAGAAAACATGTTTCATTTTTAGTCACTTATGTGTACAGCATGAATATATTTACCAAAAATTCTATAAAAAGGCTATCAAGAAAAGTTATTTGCTGGGCTGGGGTTGTGGCTCAGTGGTAGAGTGCTTGCCTAGCATGTGCAAGGCCCTGTTCGATCCTTAGCACCACATAAAAATAAATAAATATAATAAAGGTATTGTGTCCAACTACAACAGCAACAACAACAAAAGTTATTTGCTGAAGTGCTGAAAATTGAGGCAATTGGTGATACTGGAATATAATCCTATTACTATTTAATTACCTGTGTGTGATATGTAGTTCTATTGCAGTTATATAAAACAATAGGCTTAGCTTTAGGAAACACATGATGAAGTAAGGGAAAAGAAACATGTCTTCAACTAAATTTCAATTGGTCCAGGAAAAACCAAACTAAATCAAACCAAAACCATGCATTTCTTTTTTTTTTTTCTTTTGTATCAGGGATTGAACCCAGAGGAGCTCAACCACTGTGCCATATCCCCAGCAAACTCCCGCCCATTTTTTTTAAAATACTTTTTTTAGCTGTAGTTGGACACAATACCTTCATTTTATTTATTTATTTTTATGTGGAGCCAAGGATTGAACCCAGAGCCTCACACGTGAGTGCTCTACCCCAGCGCCCACCCTCAGCCCTTTTTATATTTTATTTTGAGACAGGATCTCTCTAAGTTTCATAGGACCTTGCTTAATTTCTGAGGCTGATTTGAACTTGTGATCCACCTGCCTCTTCCTTCTGAACTGCTGAGATTACAGGCTTGTGCCACTGTGCCCAGTATGCATTTCTTAATACACACGCGTTGAAGGATTTAAGGGAGTTCATTATACTAAAATCACAACTTTTCTTTAGGTTTGAAATTACTCAAAAATAAAAATGTGGGGGAAAACACAAGTGATCTAGTCAGAAATTATGTTATATACCTTGGTTTGGCATTGACAAAAATCTTAACCAGTCTATAAAAGTCAATTGATTGGGCTGGGGATGTGGCTCAAGCGGTAGCGCGCTCGCCTGGCATGCGTGCGGCCCGGGTTCGATCCTCAGCACCACATACAAACAAAGATGTTGTGTCTGCCGAAAACTAAAAAATAAACACTAAAAATCTCTCTCTCTCTCTCTCTCTCTCTCTCACTCACTCTTTCTTTAAAAAAAAAAAAAAAAAAAAAAAAAAAAAAAAAAAAAAGTCAATTGATTGTTTAGTTTTACCCTACTATATTTTATGAAATCATAAGTTAATGGCACTGGAGAACGGAGAGGCCTATAATGACCTCAGATTCTTCCTTCAACTACAGATGATATTCTGAACATATCATGTAGCATCATTTATTGGCAAAAATGTCCACTAAGCTGGTGCATGGTTGTAATCCCAGGTACCAAGTAGGCTGAGGTAGGAGGATCACTAGTTCAAGATAAGCCTCAGCAACACAGCAAGACCCTGTATCAAAAAAAATTTTGGGTGCTGGGGATATAGCTCAGTTGGTTGAGTGCTTGCCTTGTATGCACAAGGCCCTGGATTCAATCCCCAGCACCACAAAAAAAATTTTTTTGGTACTGAGGATTGAATCCAGGGGTGCATAACCAGTGAGCCACACCCCCAGCCCTTTTTAAAATATTTTATTTAGAGACAGGGTCTCTGAATTGCTAAGTGCCTTGCTAAGTTGCTGAGGCTGGCTCTGAACTCACAATCCTCCTACCTCAGCCTCCCAAGCTGTTGGAATTACAGTTGTGTACCATGGCATCCGGCAAAAATTTTTTTAAAAGGAATGGAACAGGAATATAGCTCAGTAGTAGAATACCCGAGTTCAATTCCCAGCCCTGGGGAAAAAAAATCCACTGAATCAAGAAATTGTCAACTACAGCTGTTCAAGAATGTGCAATTCGTTCTTCACACAGAAAAATACAGAAAAACATTTTAACTCTGGTTCTAGAAACAGTTCACCTGTGGATGGCTAGCCACCACCAGAACACCAACAGGAATGGACTATTTACAGGGCCATCACAGGGCTGTACCATGGCTGTGTCCTGGTCATCTTTAAGTCATAACTCAAGTGTTCACATAAGTCAAGGAAACTTGTGTATAAATCCTCAATGCAGACTGACACCAGGAAATATTATGGAAAGAAAGGCTCTAGAAATGCAAGAAATGGGAAATGGAGAACAAAAATGACAAGAGATTTACTGCTCAGGATTATGAATAGGATCCCCTTTAGAGATCTAATTCCATATTTAAGGAGGAAAAGATGTTACAAAAACAAGACTAACACATGAAACCACTTACCTTGCCCATCCTCTTTGAACACCAGCTCTCTTTTTTCAGACTCATTTTCATTCTTACCTCTGCGTCTATTTTTACCTCCTTTACCTAATCATTTTTTAAAAAGAAAAAAACATAAATTATTTGCAAAACATTATGAAAAGAAACATTAAAATAAGGCTTATAAATTATATTTTAAATCACTAAAGTGAAAAATTCACCTAATTTGAGTACTCTTAATCATATTTAATATTGTTAACATACCACCCTCCCCACTCTTCATGGATTTTTCTTTGGGGATTTTTCTGACCCAAAATACAAATAGCAAATATTATAAAGTCAGGCATCATGGTGCAAGCCTGTATTCTCAGACACTCTGGTAGCTGAGGTAGGAGGATCACAAGTTTGAGGCCAGCCTGGGCAGTTTAAGGAGACCCTCTACTAGGGATACAGCTCAGTGCAGATTACTTGCCTAGTGTGTGTGATACCCTGGGTTCCATTCCCAGTGCTACCACCACCAAACACATACACACAGAGAGAAATACACAGAAAAACATTTTAACTTAGCACACATCCTTTCCAAATAAAACCACAATTCCATACAAATTCCTTGTTTTTCATTTCTTTTTAATACAAACTTGGATCTTTGGGTGTGTTCTGCTAACAGAAAACAAAAGAATGAAAAATAAGAAAGAAGAAAAACTCTCACAAAAATATATAGAACGCCTCATGAATTCGCCCCATACACATTCTTGTAGTAAAATCTTGAGTGCCTTTGGAAGGAATTAGATGTTTCTAAGATGAAGTGAACAGAGTGTCTGGACAAAGAACTGTGGTTTTTCACTTTTGGTATACAGCAGAGTACTCAATCACTGAAATCTCCATTCAAAATTCAATTTACACTTTTTTTTGAATTTTTAATATTTATTTTATAGTTTTCAGCAGACCCAACATCTTTGTTTGTATGTGGTGCTGAGGATCGAACCCGGGCTGCACGCATGCCAGGTGAGCGCGCTACCGCTTGAGCCACATTCCCAGCCCTCAATTTACTCTCTTTTACAAAGATGATCCTTAAATGATACCCTTGTTGTTTGTTATATATTCACAGGAACTATGCTCTTAACTACCATGCAACCATGCTATCTATTTTGTCATGATTATCTCTATGAGATAATTTATTCCCAGTTACCAATGAGTTCACTGAAACTCAGATAAGTTAAATAACTCACTTAAGATCACAGTCAGTGAGCAGGGTCACCCAGACTCCCCCCCTAATCCTTTTTTGCTTCTAGTTCTTAAATTAGGTACCTCTCTAAAGCATTTTGCTCTCTTTTCAGAAATCTAAACCACATGCTGGATCTTGATAAATTCTATAAGTGTCTTGTCTCTCTCCTTCCTGAAACCTCAAGAAAGGAGCATTTGTAGGAAATGATGAGGGGATGTGAAGTTATAGCTACTGAAATGAACACACTGATTTTGTTGTGATACAGCAAGAACAACTCCAGCAACTACAAGAGTTTGAATTTTTATCTTATAAGATGCAGCTTAGACTGGATATTTGAAGTTAAAAAGGTGCTAACTGCCCCAACTTTGAAACAATGAAGATGTCCTTTATTTGGTTGGTGAATGGATAAACAAACTGTGGTACATCTATATAATGGAATATTAGTGATAAAAACAAAATAATTGTGATGTCCTGAAGAGACATGGAGGAACCTTAAATGCGTACTGGTAAGTGAAGGAAGCCAACTTGTAAAGGCTATGTACTGTATGACTGTAACTATATGAGACATCCTGAAAAAAGCAAAACTATGGAAACAGTAAAAAGATCAGTGGTTGCCAGGAGTTTGGGAGGGAGAGATGAATATATGGAGGAGATACTCAAGGCAGTGAAACTATTCTGTATGATACTGTAATGGTGGATTCATATACCAACCCTAATGTAAACCATGGACTTTGGTTAATAACGTATCTCTACTGGCTTAGTAATTATAACAAAGTACCATACTAATACACAATGTAAATAATGAAGAAAATGAGGGTGGGGGAGTGAGCAGAGAACAAATGGGAACTTTGTTATTTGCTTCTAGTTTTTCTGTAAACCTGAAGCTGCTCCAAAAAGCCTATTAACAATAACAACAACAAAAGCAGTAAGGTACACAAAGATACTATCAACAAAATATGGACTGTGATGAGCAAATATATGATACATTATGAAAAAATTTAAAAACCAGATCTTCATATTAAAAGATATTTAAAAGACCTGTCAGCCAGTCAACACACAGACCATATCTGGATCCTGACTTGGTGTGGATGATGCAAGATTAGCAATGAATTGGGAGTATCTGGAGTTAGGAGATGTTTATACAAAGGTTCATTATACTGTTTTACTTGAAATTTCATTTAAAAATAAGTGAAAAAGGAAGGTAGAAGAAGGGTATAAAACTACCAATGATATGAAAAAAAGAAATACATATTTGCTTATATATAAACTATTCTCTGAAGGACACACAGAAAATGTAAATATATTTACTACTCAAATTTTTTAAATAAAAAATCCTTTTTATGGGCCTGGGATTGTGGTTCGATGGTAGAGTTCTCACCCTTGCACTTGTGAGGCACTGGGTTCAATCCTCAGCACCACATATAAATAAATAAAATAAAGGTATATAAAAGATCCTTTTACAAAATGCAGAGCAGACCTAGCTTAGAGCATATGAAGAGGAAAAACTAGTCAGAATAATATTTATGAGATGGAAATGAGAGCTGTGACCAGATGTGGAGGGGAAAAGAAGGGGGAGAGTAAAGGATGCCCAGGGCTTTCACACAAACCCCTTAGGGTCATCAATTCAAGACTTTGTAAAATGAGGGAGTTAGTTCTAATATTCTCATTGGAGTCCTTAAAAATTCTTAATTTCCCTCTCACCTATCATTTTTCTTCATACTTTAAATACAATTTCCCACCTTTTGAAGAAATTAATTTTTCTCTCACTTATCATCTTTATGCTAGTAATCTTATATCTCATCCCACTATTTCAATTTGGTATTATTCTCAGATTTCTAATGGCTCAGTGAATGGGCCTGTCATCAAACTCAATTTTATTCAAAGCTCAATTTACCTTCTTTTACAAAGCTTGTCCTTAATCAACATTGTTTCTGTTATATAACCTCAGCGACCATGCTCTTAACTACCATATAATAATGCAAGCCAGGAACTGGGGTTGTGGCTCGGTGGTAGAGTGCCCGCCTAACACATGTGAGGTGCTGGGTTCAATCCTCAGCACCACATATAAATAAATAAATAAATAAAATAAAAGTACTGTGTCCACCTACAATTAAAAAAAAAAATGTAACCCATTTACTCATCACTTCCCTACTTTACCAGTAAGTTCACTGAAGCTACCCCTCCACAGTATTTTGTTCTCATCCCACAACCTAAACCACATTAGCAGTCATTTCCAAAAGGCAGGAGAAAGGCTGTTAAGTGGTAGTGATACCAAGGGACTCATGGGAAGAGCTTGGAAGCAGTAAAAATGTTCACAACCCAAATATAATCAAGAATGTGCGCCTGGCCACAAAGACACATATTTGACTTTCTAAAGCAGCACACTTACTCTCTCCTGAGCCAATGTCTGTCACCTTGCTCAATGCTATTGTTAGGTGGGCCACTACAATTTCAAGTTCAGTATTTGAGGCATTTTTAGGGAGCAAGAAAACTAATTTCTTGGAAAAAGACAAGTACTTCAAACCATTATGCCTGCCAGATCTTCAAACTAGAGCACAAGTTCTATTAGGGCCAGGATTATTCCTACTCTGTTCACTGGTTATATATTTGAGCTTGGCAATTCCTTAAATGAAGCAGTTAAGGGTAGTCCAATATATTGCTAAGGAATGGTGATCTCAAAATCATAGGTAATAACCTCTTCAAAGAATTGGCTTTACAAGTACAGGAATTGACCTCAGTGGTTACTTCTAGAAAGAAAGGAAGAGAGTAAAAAGGGACCAGGGAGGGATGCACACAGGGCTTTGACTTGATGTGTGTTGTAATTCTTAAATTCACAATAATGAATTCCCAGGTGTTCATTATACTTTTGTATCTCTCAAATGTTATTTATTTAAAAAAAAAAAGATTCATTACTTGTCAACTTATCAGCCATGTAATGGGACGCTCCTTAAACTTTCTTTTTGAAAGAGTAAGACCAGGTCTGAGTGTATGACAAAGTAGCATAAAGTAGAATAAACATTCTAACTTTAATCTTACTTTCTAGAATAGTTAGATTCTAAACTAAATCAAATTCTCAAATTCCTTCTTTAAACCAAACAGAAGTGTTTTGGAGAAATTTCCAAATGGTCTCTTTCTTAGGCAAAACATGAGGCTAGTGAACTAGGTGTGACTTTAGTGAACCAAAGGGGAACCTATTATTCACCAAAAGGTGCAATCAACAGAAGGGAAGTGACTTAGTCCAACAAATATTTATTGAGCATCTTCTAAGTAGCAAGTGCTGGCAATCTGATGTGATTAAGGCAGTTGCTATTCCTGTCCTTTAGAACTTAGTCTAGGTTAGGGAAGTGGAAATTTCATCACTCAAAGATGTGAATAAGATACTTATCGAAGTGATCCAGTTAACATGTCAGAATAAAGAATTCCATAGATTAAAAATTACAAAACTAGGTGTGGTGGCACATGCCTGTAATCCCAGCTACTTTGGGAGGGTGAGGCAGGGGGTACACCAGTTTGAGGCCTGCCTGGGCAATATAGCAAGATCCTGTCTCAAAAAAAAGAAAAGAAAGAAAGAAATGTTTTAAGACTTCTGAAGACTTATATATTTGTCCTCCCTTCTTTTTTGTAGCAAAAAATCTTGCTACAAAAAAGACCTGCAAGTTTTATTTCTGAGACCAGTAAGCTGTGTAGCAACTTGAAGGACTGAATCAAATAGTGAACAGAAGTGTGACCAAGTACCTTGAGAGTAATGAGTAGGGACAGCTACAAAACAGTTAAATAGAAAAGAGAACATAAGTAGGCATGGATCAGAGGAGAAGATCTTAAGATGAATACCAAAGAAGACTTATGGGCTGTGTAATATGCCCCTCTCCAGTGAAAAATACAAAGCTTTATCTATTTCTACTTGCACATTTTTCTTCAAGAAATTCTAAAGGTATTAAAAGTAAAAGAATGACTATAAGTCTATAAAAAGGCGAATTTCCTTACTGAGTGTTCTGTTTTTACTTAGATTAAGCCTTCCATTTTAGAAACCCCAAATAAACTTATCCTCGGCTGATAATTTGCCAACGTTTAGCCCCAGAATGAGAGAATAAAGGTTTTTTATTCCCATCTCAATATATACATGATCTTAAGCCAAGTCAGAAAACTTCGCTAAATATGGATGGAGTCTTTGGGGGGGGGGGAGTTAAACCTCATAAAGAAACGGAGCAAAGTAAATCTCTAGAGATGAACCTTAAAAAAGCATCAAGGCATCACAGTTTATTAAGGACAGAGAGGAGCCTCAACAATACTAACAACTGTCCATAAAGAAGCCCATGCAGAGTACCAGATGGGCACGAGAGCAGTCATCACTCTTAAAGTTCAGAACGGATCCCAGGGCTTAACTTTCCCTGCGGGGTAAGTCCACAGGGACCCAACTGCGAAGGCCAGGAGATCCCAAGGAAGGTCCTGCGATAAGTCCCTGAAGCGCCGCGGTCAGTCTGGCGCGAACCAGGGGCAAGAGCCCACATTCTCCCACAGGAGGCCCTACAAAAATGGCGTCGGCTCCACCCCACTGTGACCAAACTGGGAAACAGGAGTAACTTCCTCGGCCCTCTCCAGAGCTCCAAGTCTCATGTGGAGCACCCAGGCACAGGCGGGCAGGGTAGGAAGGTCACTGCGGCCTGGGTTGACCTGGATGCTGCGGGCAGGGCCAGGGAAATCGGGCCGAGTAAAGCCGTGGTCTCGGGATCCGGGTGGCATTACCTTTATTCTTGGGCATGGCGGTGAAGGTGGACTCGCGGAGTCTCCGACTTCTTTCCGAGCGGGAGCGGCGGAGGAAGGGACTCCTCAGAGGGGCGCGATGGGAGACACGAAAGAGCGCGCGCGGGACCAAGCAGGCTCCTGGAGGCCGAGTAGCGTGCTCCGGAGAGTCTGGAGACTGGGTTCTTCCGAGATCCGCTTGCGCCCACGCTCGACAGCAGCAAATGGCGTCGCGGCTGCTTGCGTCGCCTTTCCCCGCCTCCCGCCGCTGGCAGGGCCCACCCCCCCCCCCCCCCCCACCAGCCCTCCACCCCCGGCTCTAGGGCGCAGGCGTGGCCGAGGGAGCTGAGTTCTGAGAGGGTTCTGAGGCGCCTGAGAGCACGCAGCGGGCGGGACCGTGAGCCGGGAGGCGGTGGAGTCTGGGATTGGATGGACGCGGCCCTGCGTCATAGTAAGGGGAGGATTGAGGTACCGCCGGCTGCTGTCTGGGCCAACCGTCTGTTGGTTTGTAACAAACCCGGCGTCTCCCGGTTTGACAATTTGCTGACTCATGAACCTCACAGCTAGCTCAGTTTTAATGTGGCCCTTTCACCCGCCCAGCCAGGCTGGGAACCTGAGGGGAAGGGGAGACCTGTCTGTTATCCATTACCAAAGCATATTTACATGGCACTTGTTAATCCTTTTTAAATGTCTTCCCTGCCTCCTTGTTGCTTATCACTACCAGCACTTAACGGATTGGCACACAGTGGGTGCTCAATACACATTGGAAAAAAGAAAGGAAGGAAAGACAAGTTAGGTGTTAGGGGATGAATTATGTCCCTCTAAAGTTTTTTTTTTTTTGCACCAGATATGCAACCCAGGGGTGTTTAACCACTGAGCTACATCCGTATCCCTTTTTAAATTTTTTATTTTATTTTATTTTATTTTGAGACAGGGTCTGGATAAGTTGCTTAGAGTATCGCTAAATTGCTGAGCCTGGCTTCAAATTTGCAGTTCTTAGGCCTCAGCCTCTTGAGTCATTGGGATTACACAAGTGTGTGCCACCACTCCTGGCTGGAAGTTCAAATGTTTAAAAATGGAAAGTCTCTGTCAAGTGGGAATGTAGTTCAGTGGCCGAGTGCTTGACTAGTATGTGTGAGGCCCTGGGTTTGATCCCCAGCAACACACACGACACAGACACAAACACACGCACAAAATCTCTGTCAATTGCCTGATATAAAACCTCGAAGGACAAAATAAACATCAGGGTTCATTTCTCTATGATAGATAGCATGATTCCCATGTATGACTGTTCATCAGAATGACTGGGAAAGAGGTGAATCATGTGAACATCTGGGGGAAATACGTCGCAAGAGCAAAGCCTCTGTATAGAAGTATGTTTGGTATATTCAAGGAATAGTAAGAAGGAGCTGGGCATGGCTGTATGTACCTGTAGTTCCAGCTCCTGGGGAGGCTGAGGTGGGAGGCTGAGCCTATGATTTCAAGACCAGCATGGGTAAAATTGAGAGAACCTGTCTCATTTTTTTTTTTTAAATTAAGAAGTAGCAAGAAGTCCAGTGTGGAAAGAATGCAACAAGCCAAGGGAAGAGTTTGGGGAGGTAAGATCAAGATCATAGAGGTAAGGAGACCAGATCTTTGAAATCCATAGGAAGTTTTAAACAGATTATTTTGACTTCTTTTAAGAATATGGGGGCTGGGGACATAACTGAGTTGGTAGAATGCTTGCCTTGCATACACAAGGCCCTGGGTTCAATTCCCAGTAACTAACACACACACAAAGAACAGACTGTAGGGGGCAAAGACGATAACAGAGATCATACCAGATGCTACTGCAGTTATCCAAGGAAAAGATAATAGTAGCTTGGAATAGAGTATAAGGTTTCTTTTGGGGATAATGAGAATGATAATTGCTGCATGCCTCTATACTAAAAACCACTGAATTGTACACTGTAAATTGGACTTTGTGGCTTATGAATTGTATCTCAATAAAAGTGTTCAGAAAAAGAAATGGGAGAATGGATCTGATCATGGAAAAATAAAATAATTGACAAATACTACTGGGGACTTAGCTGAGATTAGAAAATATTAGATTGCAGTGGTATCAGCTTGCATAATTGTATGGTTTCTTCCAACATACAGTGTCCAGAAGTGTATACACAGCATAAACCAAAGCAATCCAAGATTGGAGTTTTGTTCAATGGCTGCAGTATAAAGGCAAAGAGGTTAGGAAGTTCAGAGTGCTTCTGAGAGAAAAGTTCAGATGATCAATTATGAAGCTATGAGGTTCATTCTGAGTGGTAAAGGAAATAGAGTGGATGAAATTTAAATTTTTAATAAGATTAACTATGCTTTTGAAGATCTGGCCTCTGCCTACCTCTTAAGCCTCAAGTCTTCTTATATTTTAAACTCTACATATACAAAACAGTTTGTTTTCTCAAGAACCTCCAATTTGTCTGAATCTCCATACATTTTGTTCTCCTCTTCTCCTTTCCTCTTTTAGGCCTCAGCTTAATCAGTTTCCTTGGAATGTCTACCCTAATTCCTACGCAGCCTGTATATATATATATATATATATATATATATATATATATATATATATATATATATATATATATATATGTATATATTTTAAAGCATCATCCTACACTTCCTTTACCTATATTTTTTAGTGTCAATTCTATCAATCCAAGGTAGATTAACACAAAACTGCAGAAAGCATGACCATGACAAATACTCCTACTCCAGGTCAGCTTAAGGAGTCAGGAATTTCTCTAGGTAATCATGGCAAGTAGCCTAGTAAACTCTAAAGATATCCATGTCTAAATCCCTAGAAACTGTGTATATCATCTCACATGGTGAAAGGGAATTTAGGTTGCAGAAGCAATGAAGGTTGCTAATCAGTTGACCATGAGATGGAGCGATTATCCTAGATCATCTCCATAGATCAGATCTAATCACACAAATCCTAAGTGAAACAGGCAGAAGAAAGAGGTCAGAGAGATAGATGCATATGAAGAGGACCAGACTGCTATTGCTGTATTTTTTGTTGTTTGTTTGGTTTTTGCAGTGCTGGGGATGGAACCCAGGGCCTCCAGAGTGCTAGGCAAACACTCTTAATACTGCCCCTGCAGCCCCAGGCATGCTGCTGCTTTTGAAGATGGAGGAAGGGTTCCATGAGTCAAGCGATACAAGTGGTCTTTAGAAACTGGAAAAGGCTAGGAAACACTTCTAACCAAGAACCTCCTGAAAGAAGTACAACCTAGGGCTGGAACTGTGGCTCAGCGGCAGAGCACATGCTTAGAATGTGCAAGACCCTGGGTGCGATCCTCAGCACCACATAAAAATAAATAAAGGTATAAAAAAATAAGTACAGCCTAGCTTGAGACCCTTTTTTTTTTTTAGCCCAGTGGCATCCATATTAAACTTCCAGCCTCTAGAACTGTAAGATAATAAATTTTCATTGTTTTGAGTCACTAAATTTGTGGTTATTACAAAAGTGACAGAAAACAAATACAGTTAACATCCTTACAGTGTCTCAGTATAATGCCAACTAGAACTTACCACTGGCCATCATATCTGAATACCCAAATCTATATAAGTGGCTAACACCTAAACCAACTTGTTGAGAGCCACAGTTTCCTCAGAATGACGCCTGGCATTTTTGCCAGAGGGAACGGTTGAAAGGTGACCCTGCTCCGGGATTAGGGCGGACCCTGCTGGGAATAGGGCGGCTCCAGGATTAGGTCGGATCCTGCTGGGATTAGGGCTGATCGCGCCCGCTACTTTTGAGTTTCCATTGAGTTCTCTGGGGTTCTGAGAGAATTGGCCCGCGGAGCCCGGTGGAGGGAGTGTGTTCCTGGGAAGTGTGTATAGAGTGCCGGTGAGAATTCGGGAATAAAGAGTTGCTGTTTGAACCTACAAGGCTTGGTGGCGGCTTGGTTATTTTGTGCCCAGCCAGACTGCGGCACCAACTGTCATGGAATGAATTGTCTTCTCCAAATTCATAAGTTGAATTTCCAACCCCTGGTACCTCAGAATTAAATATCACAGTATTTTGAGACGTGACTGAATTAAGACCATTAGGATAGGGTCCTAAGGCAATATGATTGGTGCCCTTATAAAAAGGAACAGGCTGGACATGTAGCTCAGTGATAGAGAACTTAGAACATGGGCAAAGTTCTGTGTTCAATCCGAAGGAGAAGGAGAAGGAGAAGAAGGAGGGGGAGGAAGGGGAGGAAGGGGAGGAGGAGGAGGAGGAGGAGGAGGAGGAGGAGGAGGAGGAGGAGGAGATCCATGGTGCAGAAAGAGGGCACCATCTATAGTCAAAGACAGAGGTCACAGCCTGCAGGTACCTGAATCTTGGACTTCAGCTTTCAGAACTTTGAGAAAATAAATTTCTATTGTTTAAGCCACCCAATCTGGTATTTCAGAATATAAAAACATTTACAGGAAAAGGGGTAACTTCAGGCTTATTATTAAGTACCCTCTCTATTAGAAATCAGTGACCTCAAATTTCCTTTCAAACATGCTAATGAGACTTGCTAGTAGAAAGACAATGGAAAAATCCTTCTAAATGCTTTTAGCAAGATATACTTTGTCAGCTTGGCATGGTGGTGCATGCTTGTAATCCTAGCGGCTCTGGTGGTTGAGGCAGGAGGATTGAAAGTTCAAAGTGAGCCTCAGCAACTTAATGAGGCCCTAAGCAACTCAGCAAGACTCTGTCTCTAAATAATATAAAAAGGGCTGGGGATGTGGCTCAGTGGTTGAGTGCCCCTGGATTTAATCATCAGTACCCCCTCCCAAAAGATATACTTGGTCTTTATAGATGGCTTATTGTAAAACCTGCAATTCATGCTGTATGGCTGACTGGAGAGAACAGGGGCTCATCATTAAGTTGTGTAAATAATGAGGTATGAAAAGGCAAAGCTGAAAAAGCAAATGACTCCCTTTGTTTGAACAAGGTCTCCACATATAAATTCACCAGGAAATTTATCCTTTAATTCTGAACCCAAAATATACTGTAATGAGGAAGGAAAGGGGCATTTTTGGAGTAGAATCTGATCATTTTGGACTTCTCCAAGAAAAGAATGTTTCATTTGTGCCTACTGACTAACTTGTATCTTTCAAATCATTAATCAGGTTTTGTATTGGTAAGATGTGTAACTAATGTGAGTTATGTGTGTCTGATCTGACAAGTCCTTTGGGTCAAACAAGATGATGCATAACAAAATTATTTTGCACTTATTTCAGAAATATTCCTGTTTTAAGTTCTATTAATACAATTTCAAAAATATGCTTTGGATAGAATAATTTCATATTATAAGGTTTGATCATCATATAATCAAAATAATAAAATGATAAAAGGGACATATGTGAATTTATTTGAAACTTTATTATATAAATTTTCATTTCTTTTAAAGATTACAAAACCTGTTCTATGACAGGAATACAAGCAATATTGTTCCAGGATTATTCATGGATACATCTGAAAGAGCTTAGATTACACATTAATAGTACGATTTGCAAACTTCCCAGATTAGACTCTTAAGTAAAACAATTTAAAGTATTCAGTGATATTTGATCCTTTACAAGCAATTCATAATTATATGGCAGCAGTGCCAAGCATCTGATGTGATTTAACCACCAATAAAGGGTACAGTATGTAAGAACTTGTGATATGGAAACTTGGGCTTCTGGCATGCCTTTACTAGAGAGAAACTAGTATAAAGTAAGATCATATATAATAGTAGAAAAATATTTGTGATTTTTCTTTTTTAAAAACTGTTGAAGAGATACCCATCCCATTCCCACCCATGGAGAAAAAGGCAAAATAATTACATCCCATAGATGTAGACCTTCCCTTTTGTTTAGGGCAAAAATTAAGATAAACTAATATATGTATATGATTTTAGGAATTACAAACTCATCACCCATAATCACTAAGGATGCTAATGAATGGCAATACCTTGAAGCTTTTTTAAATTAAAAAACAAAGCTTTAGATGGTAAACTACACATATAGACACACAAACCAAAATCTTTATCCTTATGTCCTTGCTTTGTATTTAAAAGTTCTATTTTAAATACTTGTTTGAAAGACTCAGTATACAGTTCAATCAGTACTACAGTGATAATAGGAGTAAAGATGCTCACTTCCATTATATTGAACTAATCTACTTAGAGAGGACTATTATAGCAACTCTCTTTTCATATACATTTACATATACTTTACTCAAAAGGTATGTGCTCTAAAGACATTTTCTTAAGGTTTGCACCTCTGAACTTCTATCTCTAAATTTCTTTTCCACTAGTCTCTATTCAAAATGTCATATACTTTGCTAGTTACGCTGGGAGAAGTCATGGATATTTAAACAGCTTATCATGCAGTTCAAGGTTATATGGCAAAATAATGAGGAAAGTGCCTGAAGAGGTAGGAAGTAGGCTCTCATCCCAACCCTTGGTATGCTCTGTTATTAACAGTTAAAAGACTGGAATCAAAGTGGTAAATGAGATTGATAGTAATACCAGACTTAAGAAAATTAAGTTGACTTAGTTACTATTCTTTGAGAACACTCAGTCACATTGGAACCAGTTACAAGTCACTTGATCACACAGAATGCAGCAGTGTCAAAAATACATAAAGCACATTGTAGATACAAATTCTTCTTGGTATCCATATTTGGGTATCATCATTCTGTAGATTCTTCACTGCAAAAAGTGGTTAAGTGTGGCTCTGTAGAATACCAGTCTCAAGAAAGTGAATTTATTCTTTCGTTAATTGGTCTCCACTAATGGTCACTAGGGGGAGACCAGTAAAATGTAAGCAACCTGGGGCTGAAAGAAGACTATTTTCATTAATTGAAATAAAAATGCTGACTTAAGTCAACTTATCTGTGAATTAAATAAGGCTCAAAGTATACATCCAGTTTAAAATTAGCCACAGGGAATTGAACCTTTCAGGACAGAGAGATCTAAACTGGAACCTTCTGGTTGAAGCACCAAGATCAGCTAAGGAATCCTATGTATTTATGAATCACAGAAAATAGACCTTTTACATTCCTGAGCTATCTGTCTTAATACCTTCTTAAATCTCAAATGCTTAATACCACTATAAGATCTAGTTTACTCTATAAAATATAGTAAAGCCAGCTGAAAAAATGGTAAGTCATTTATCAAGGCCAAGGAGTGTGTACTGCTGGCCTCAATATGATTAAGCACATCTGTGCCAAGGTCCTTAAATCTTGAATGCCAACTCTCATTCTAGACTGGGCCTACCAAGTCGTGTTCCTACCAAACACATTCTATCTTCTCTTGGAGTCTTTGCACTCACCCACCCTCTGTTCAAATCTTGCCTGGGCTGAGGGTACAGGTCACAGCTAAATGAAAAGCCCCATCTCCCCTGATGTATCTGATCCCAACAGCAGTCACTTCTTAAAAAAAGACAGGAAATGCTTGATTCAAAACCACTCACTGGAGTGCAATGCATGTGAAATGGGTAAATTCTACTGCATAGACACCACGCCCTTTCTTCGGATACTCAAAAGTGACTTTTCCCACATGGCAGCCTCACAGCATCTTGATGTTAGGTTCTACCAAAATCACATTTTTGGACTTCTGGGGTTGTAAATGTACTCACATAAAATCTGTTAAAATCAGGGGTCTAATGTATTTAGAAAGAAGATATCACTATAAACCAGGAAGAGATGAAATGATTCATAAAAAGGAAAAATAAAAATGGGCAAAAAACTTACCTTCATTTAATATCATTACTCGAAAGGGAAGATACAAAACGCATGGTAGTGTAATTCATATTTTCCAGTGCATGCTTGGCAATGTTAAATGCAATCCATCATTCTGAATATTATTGTGTATTATAAACTAAGAGGAAGTTTGTAAAAGGTACTGATATCTTTAAGACTGGACTAACAACTCCTGGGAGAAGCTCGAAAAATTGGCAGCAACTTGTAAAGGGCAAAATATTTCAGGGTTCTCAATACCACAACCATAGAGGTCTGGAAGAACTGGGACTTTGAGAAATTAATGAGAAGTTTAACTAAGCACAAGCACTACACTTGGAGCACATTGTTGGCCAAGTCTGCCCAAAGGCAATGAGAACATCAGAACCACAGAGAGAACAATTTAAGTTAATAAACTGCATTTTAGGCAGAAAGCCTTCACTTTTGCTTTTCTCCAATAAACTGACAGTTTGACTAGATAAAGAAGGCAATGATCCTTGAAAGGAAAAAAAAAATCTTTGTATCATATAAAAGTAGATGACTACCTTAAGAATTTTTTTTAATTTGGCTACTGGTCAGGGGATAATATGAAGGAAAGGCAGCATGGTGTTACGAAGAAAAAAAATGAAATGGAGAGAAGAATTCTAGCCTTTGATTTGAGTCACAGGTTCTTTACATGCAATATGATAAAATCTAACCAGGTAACTTATAAGGATTTATATATTTACTTCTAGTTCTAAAAGATGATGGTGGACAATATCTCTAAACAATTAGGGAGTAACATCACTGGCAAAAATCCGAAAATATTTTTTGCTCAGAATTATATTAACAGTTAAAAAGTGACAAGAATTTGGGTTGACCATGGCTTGAAAAACTGAACAGAAAAGGAAAAAAAAAAACAGCTTTCTTTCCAAGCAACAGAAAGCAGCTTTTAATAGTTAGCATCCGTACACTCAAGAGCTTAAAAATTTTTTTATCTAGATCTTCTGATACCCTTCCTCTTTTATATTTTTCATTTAGAAGGTAAACGTACATTTGGTTTCTATGCAACTATCATTTTATGTTGTTTGGTTGGGTTTTATGTTGTTGTGCAAAAAGGAATTTTATAAATTTCCTCTTTGTCTTTAATTGCATATAGGAGAAATTAAGGAATTAAAAGTGGCTTTCAAAACATTTAGATAAAGCACACTCTCTTGGCTGAACATTCTTATGGGAAGATTTCTGATGTAAATGACTTAGATTTCTGAGTACATGACTTAGATCTGTTTGGGCACATTCCTGATGAGGTACGTTAAATCACTTTTTCCTTGCTCTTATGTTTTTTACATTACATATTGATGTATGCTAGGTAGTTTGGCAAAGATATAGGTAATGATGGGTACAGAAGTTTCTTTCATCAAAAAAAATTCACGAAACTAGCAAATTAGATGTAGATAATGAACACTTCAATCTAAGTGGACCCAGGAGCCATCATGAAAGTCGGTCATTTCTGAAATCAAAGGAAGAATTATATAGGTCTAAATCATCAGGAGAGATTCAGAAAACAATTAATATTCACTTGGGTTAACTTAGCCATGATTTCAGGTTAGAACAGATAATGTTTGATCAAGAATGTTTTATTCCCTAAAATAACAAAGTTTTAAGTCCAATTTCATATAGAGGCCTGTGGCCTTTACTACATTCAAATTAGTGTTTAATATAGAGTATTTATTTAAACATGAAATACCCAATAGGACTTCAATTACGGGTTGCTATATTTTCCTTCACCAAACTTTTTACCATGACTCTTGAAGGCCTTTGATGTATATTGGCAAGATCCCAAGTAATATGTCAAATACTAAGTATGTATACTATGTAAGAGTGAAAATGCAAGGATTACTTCCTTAGTTGAAGAAAAAAGAATCCTAAGGAGTTGCAAAGTATATGGACTAACTTCTTAGGTGTACTTGATTTCATGCCCCCCACACGATAACTTTCTGTACCATAACAGCTCTCTAGGTTAGTCTAACAGAGCACCTGACTTTAAGAAACAAACAAATGAACCAGTGAAACAGACATGGGGAAAAGATATGTACATTTTGAAAGTATTACATTCAACAGCTGTTCCACATGTGGCTATTTTTAGGGCTGTCCAACAATACTGTTAATCCAGGTGAACTATTTAATCAGATTTAATAGTCAATTGATTAATAATAGATTCCAAGTTAAACAAGGCATGTATACATTAAAGAAAGTAGTACAGAAATGTACTGTATATGAACTGTTTACAAAAACATACAAAATGTTGGATGGCACAAGGGATACAGTGCTAATATAAACGGATTGTTTAAGCTAAGTGCTTAACATAAACTGTCCATCCCTATAACTAACAAAGAATATTTAAGGGACATGAAATATTTCCTATAAAAATAATGCTATATGGTGTAGAGTACTTTATTCAGTGTATTTTAGGTGGTATTCATATGTTCATTATTTTTCTTGTTGATTCAGTGAATATATCTTCATCATGTTTTCATTTTCATTTCATCCGAAGCTCCAGGAAAATCTAACTTGCTAACAATCATTTAAAGCGAGAAGAGACGAAAGCAGGAGCAGCAGCAGGAGCAGCAGCATTATGGGTACCAGCTGGGACAGTGTGTGCTTGCAGGTGTCTCTCAGATATGTGCTACCTGTCGCCAGAACTTGTGCTATCAGCTTACATCATGGTACCAAATATCTCACTGAGGTCACTTCACAGGGCTGTTGAGGTGATTTTTTTAATACCTCTCCGCTGAGCAAGAGTAGAGCGGCCTACTGGTTCCAAAACTGGTGACTGATTACGGTTTAAAGCAGAATATGTAGCTGCCATGGCACCCTGAGAAAAGAAACGAACGGTAACAAAGTGATATGTACTCAAATATGAAATAAACATTTTCCCCCAGATTTTTTTATATACAAATGTACATAGATTTTATTACTTTCACATGAAAACAGCCACACTGGTCAAATCCTCTGATTTAACTAAAACTCAGACCAATGTGGGAGGTTGGAATTAGATCTGAAAGTATAGGGATGGGTTTAAAACAAGAGGTCCTTATTTTTCTCAGGACTATTCAACTTGTGACTTTGCAATCCTTAATATATTAAAAAAGGAACATCCATAAACTTATCTGTCCTTATTGTTAGTGAATACCTATTTCTGTAGAGTGATAGAAATTTAAAAGTCATCTTAAACTAATTTTATTACTGACATTTTGGCATGCCTTGACTTTTCTAAGTCAGCCATGTAAGAGGACCCCATACTAGAAGGTAAAGGTAAGTTGCTGAGGGTATGAGAGGGCTTCTCAGAGTCTCTTCTGGCCCTGACCCTTCTGGAGGACATACAAAAACACTGACTGAATGGGGCTGCTCACCTTTACTAGATGTGGTGCGTCCTGCCTGTTTAGTTGGTATTGTGGCAGTTGATCCCAATGGACAATCCAAGGATGTCTGAGCACAAGAGCAGCAGTCAATCTCTGATGAGGGTCTACATGAAGCATCTTTGACACCAGGTCCTGTTATGTGAAGAAAAAGAGTAAAATAAGTTGAATGCCCCCTCTCTTATTTTTTTGCTTCTATTTCTGTGGCATGTGATCCTGGTAAAGATTCTTCCTTAGCTTCTATGACACTGTTCTTTCCTGGTAGCAGTCCTTTGGGCTCAAAGCAATTTGGCCAAGATGACAATTTGGAAAAAAAATACTCCAATCTCTCTTTTTTCCTCTCTGAGTAACAATAATTTTGGTGCATAATAAAGGGTCAGTAAACCACATTTTATATATATTTAAGTATTCTGGCTCTTCTCCCCCTCAGATTTTTTGAGCTTCTGACATTTTTGGAGGTTTATTTCTAAATAATATTCAACTACCTAAGACTTTGGTGTTGCTATTGAAAAGCAGAACATAAACATCCATAACAAGAATTCAATTGGAGAGGGCTCAATGCCCCCCTCAAAGATTACAGGAGTCTTTAAAAAATTTTTTTCTACTTCAAAAGCAACTCGCGGGCATTACACATAAACCAGAAAATACAGAGAAATGAAAGAACATAAAGAACACCCATAATTTCACTCTTCCAGAGGCAATCACTGTTAACACTGAGTATATATCCAAACACCTTCCTAGGCATAGAATATAGATTCATGTCACCACCATATGGTTTTACACCTTTTCAAAATGATAACATAATTGTCATTTATAAATGTCAGAGAAGAACTCTGACTCCATGAAGCTTTCAGTTCAGTGAGGGACAGACAAAGCAAACAAGAAGTTCTTTGATGGGAGGGACAAGTAAATACAAGGTGTATCTAGAGGAACATAAATAAAGAGACACCTGACCTCAACTAGATGGGATGGCTTGAAAGTGACCTCTTAAGAGGAAGGTGAAACCTGAAGGATAAGCAGGAGCTGGATTAGAGAAGGGAAGGGGGAAACACAGTATTTCAGGTAGATAGAAGGGAGTGCATTTAGAGAAAAGACCTCAGGTTCAAGAGAACAGGTCATAGTTGAGGAACTGCCTGGAGTGCAATGTGGATGCAGTACAAATTGTCAAGGAGAACGTGGCAGCCAATGAAGTGGGAGAGCTGAGAAGGGATTAGATTAGGAAGGCCTTTGTAAGTTGTATCAGCAAACCTGGATGTATTCTGGAGGTAAGAGGGTAATAAGTTTATAGTTTAGAGAGATCATAATCACTAAGCGTGGAGGAAAATGGATTTGGGGGGCAAGCCTGGAGACTCCATTTTAGAAAATTGACAGCTTCAAGTAGGGATATAAGAGATGGAGAAAAATGGGTGGAATAAGGAAGAGTCTAAAAAAGAAAAAAAGAAAAAGTGAACAAAGTAGCGATCTCTCCTATCTAATTCTGAAAGTGGGCCAAAGTGCTTAAAATGAATAAAATATTGCAAAACTGTCCAGGGCAAAACCAAATTCATAATTTTAATCTAATCCGTGTGCTTGATTTTTGGCCCAAGTCACTTTGAACTTCTCTCTCCGACTGCTACCCCATTCAATGGCCACTCCTCCTCAGCTTTTTCTTTCTCTCCATATTTTCTTGTGGCCCTGAGGATGGAACCCCAGACCTTGTCCATGCTAGGCAAGTGCTCTTCTACTGAGCTACATTTCCAGTCCTGGTTTTCTCTTTAAGTAGTGGCACTCCCTTTAATTCCTTCCTTGGCTTTTTAGTTATCATGGATGATACCAACTCCTAACTTCAAACTTCACCCCAAACTTCTCTTTGAAACCTGCATCCATATGGCCAGTTGCCTATTGGACATACAAGTATTATGTCACATAAGCATTTCAAATTCATTATGTCCAAATCTGTAACCACTGCTCTTCTCAAAGCTTCTTTCATTTTCTACTTTTTGTTGAAAGACCACCCCCCCTGCAATGTTTGCCCAAGGTAGAAATGTGGACTGCAAGCTTGATACCCGCTTCTTTCCTTCTCCCTCTCCCCGCATCCCTTTCAAAGAACTGGGATTGAACTCAGGGACACTTTATTACTAAGCTACCCCCAGCCATTTTTATTTTTTATTTTGAGACAGGGTCTAAGATGCCAAGGTTGGCCTCGAACTTGCAATCTTCCTGCCTCAGCCCCCTGGGTTGCTGGGATCATAGGGGTGTATGACCATGACTGGCCAATATATCCTTTATTTATGTCCAATAAGTTACCAAGTCTATTCTGCATCCTAAATATATTTTCTATTTGGCCCAAATTCCATCACAGATGCTCTAGTTTAGGTCCTCATCATTCATAACCTGAAATATACAAAGTCTTACAAGTAATGTCCGTATTTATTAGGTTAGTAAGTACTGAATGAACTGGTCCTATAGGTAAAAGTGATAACACAGTCCTTGTCTTTTAAATACTCAATAAAGAGTGGCTATGTTCCTGTTCTTCTCAAAGCCACATGTGATACACATGGCACGAAAGGACTGATAATGTTCACATAATGTAACTTGCTCTTAAAGGGACAAACCCAAATTGATAGAGAAAGCCCTCCCTCCTACTTTGTGAGTAATCAGTGTTACATCATGCTTGCAATCACAAGTCTTAACTGTACATATTAGCAAAAGTTACTAGTAATAATGTGGAATTTAAGATAGGCTGTTAGTTGGATACAATTTTTTGTGCTCTATATGTATCTTCATCCTCACCCATATTATTCTCTCCTACCAAAAATCATACTGGAATGAAAGTAAATAAGGAGAAAATTATAGAGATAACCTCAACTGGCCTTGGTTTACTAAAAAAACCAAGAAATGTGTAGCTTCTGATACTTCACTATTTGGGAACATTAATTGATATACTTCTCAATGGATTAAGGAAAATCTGATCACTGCACTACTTAATGTTTTTAACAGTTCCATAAAACCCAGAGTAAGCTCGCAATCCTAAGCAGGAGCCACAAAGGTTTATCAGCTATTTTCTCTTGTGCCCTCTGTAGTATTCCTATCAATTTTGCATTTCTGGCTGCCTCTTAGATTCTGAGCTCCCTGAGATCAGGAATTCTATCTTTTATCTCTACAGCTTTCATTTATTAAGCACACTGTAGGTGCTCATTAAGAGAATTACAAAGGAAACAGGTACCCAGAAAAATGAAACAAAGGCTAATATTTTATTGAAATTTTTTTGTGGTGCTAGGAATTGAACCCAGTGCCTCGTGTGTTAAGCATGTGCTTTACCACCAACGTACACCCCAGTCTAATATTTCATTTTAAATGCAGTGAAAAAACAAATATTAAATGTATATACATTAAACTGGTTAGCTAAGGATTCATGCTTTATCCCAAAAGAACCTATATAAATTTTTGATATGCTTTATTTATTTACACAATCATCTCAACTCAAGCTTCCATCCCTAAGAAAACTCAGCACTTTTACCAATGTTTCTTCATTTCCTTTATGTTTTTCTTATTTTGAAGCGTAAAACTTTACTTTTTTAAAAGAAACAATTTTCTTCCAGTAAACTGAACATAGAGTCAGTGGTATTCTTGGGATGGCAGATCTAGAGAGAAGGGCTTTTCAATTGGCTTCAAGCAGAGGCTATAAAACTATGCTATTGTTTATTGTGAAAAAAGATGAATCCCCTTTCTTCTTTAATTTTTTTGGGTACCGGGGATTGAACTCAGGGGCACTCAACCACTGAGCCACATCCCCAGCCCTATTTTGTATTTTATTTAGGCTGGCTTTGAACTTGCAATCCTCCTACCTCAGCCTCCTGAGTCATTGGGATTACAGGCATTTGCCACCACGCCCAGCTGAGACTCTTTCTTCTTAACATGAATCAAAACTAGAACATGGTGTAATTATTCTAGGGAACAAGGGCTTTGGAATAAGACATTTTATTTAAAGCATCTACATGTTCCTGGTGCGTAATCATAGACGAGTTCACACTAAAACTCTGATCCTTGGTTTTCTTTTGTAAAGGGGATACTATCATCTATTTTACAGAGTTGTTATGAGTATTACATGAGACACTGAGGTGAAATCAAGTGTGATGCACATAGTAGACAAATGAAGACTACACTACCACCATTATTATCCATCAAGCTTGTCAGTAAGAAGTAGCTTTATCTGTAAGGATAATAAGGCCAAACTGACATCTTCTGGGAAAGAAACAAAATAAACGGTCCATTTTGGAGTTCAAGTTATTTGAACTAACATCACTTCAATATACTACTTTGTAAGTTTTTTTCCCCTCAGAACTAGGGACTGAACCCAGGGCCTCATGTATGCTAGGCAAGTACTTTATGACTGAGTTACATCCTCAATACCCTTCAAAAATTTTAGTTAGTATTTTGCTAAAGTGCCCAGGCTGTCCTTGAACTTGCAATCATCCTGCCTCAGCCTCCAAGTTGCTGGAATTACAAGTGTATGTCACTGCACCTGGCTTAAGAAGATATTTTTAACTGAGTATTTCTTCTCACTATGGATTGTGACAAATTATTTTCTCAAGAGCCAAAAGCTTGTAGCAGTGCTGGGCATGTAGCTCAATGGTACAGTGCATATTTATTATGTATAAGGTGATGGATTTGATCCCTAGCACCAAAACCAAAACGGAATAAAAAAGAGCTTGTACAAGGAAGCCAAACTTACCTTTGCTGTATCTGAAACAGAATTCCAGTAACCGCCGCTCAGTGAGAATTTTCCACTACCTATTCGTGCCAATATTTCCTCTGGTGTATCATCAGGACCATTTGCAAATGGAGTGTAACTAGTTTATAATAAAATTAAAATGTTAATGAATAAATTTTTCTTTTTTGGTTGGTAATTTTTATATTCAGTTGAAGTTTCCAAAAGTATTGAGTAATTCAGTTAATATAATACTTTATTAAAACAATGCTCTATGGCCCAAAGTAGTCTAAATATATGGTACTCTAAATATTTTAAGTTAAAATCAACTTAAGACCAAGACATTGATGATACAGCTATAAATGCAGTGTTTTTATTTTATATGTATATAAAAGAAAGCATGATAAAACATGGAAAGATATTATAACATAAGGATTTTAAAAAACCTACATAATTTAAGCAAAATATTGATGAATAAATGGTACACACTCACCCAGTAAGCATTGTATAGAGGAGGACACCAAGACTCCATATATCACAAGCAGCATCATAGCCTTGTCGTTTTAAAACCTGGAAAAAATAAAAGATTAGCATTACCACACTACTGTTTTTTATATATATTTGGATAGACTATGAACTAAATTATATTTTCAAAATCAGTGTATAAGAAAAACTTCAACAGCACACGAATGACAAGGCAACATATTAAATCTATTCTAGAACATTCTACCAACAATTTGTATATATAAATTTAATTTGGTATTTGAATAACATTATTGAGCTGCTGTAGTTACAAAAAGAAATATAAAACAAATTGATCAATTTCTTATTTTAATTTATATTTTGTATAGCACTAGAGAAATATTTACAGACAATACTTTTAATAACACATAACCTAGTACAAATGATATAGTGCAAAATACCACATATATAAAAAATATATGAATAAGTTGATTCACTCAAGCAAATAATCAATAGTGATTATTTAATAATCATTATTATTAGGCATGAGCTATGACAAATAAGAAAAAAGATCAATTTCCTAAAATAATCAAGATATGGCAGGGAAATATATATAGTTAATAATTCAACATGATAAACATCATAACAAAATTATATCTGAAGTTGTATTTCACATGCTAGGCAAGTGCTCTACCATTGAGCATAACCTCAGCCTCAATTTATTATTGATAAGGGGAGGACAGGTTAGAGGGCAGCTACCTTGTGTGCGACCCATAAGTAAGAATTCAGTATGAAAAGGGAGGAGGTAGGGGAAGGGCAGAGGTCATTCAAATGATAGAGAAAAGAGGGCGGAAGAGTCTTAGTGATAGGCAAGAAGTTCTGAGTAGCCAAACTTTAGGTAAAGGATAGTAAAGACCGCAGAGATTTTGTAATATTAAAGAATTTAGATTTTTTTTCTTGTAGGTACTCAGATGTGATTGAAGCATTAAACAGGAAAATAAAGGGTTGGCATTTTACCATAATTATTTGTTCAATAAGTCTTCAATTAACAATGATTAACTATTCTATATTAAACACAACAAGCAACTTTTTACATACTAAAATACATAAGCAAACTCTCTCACAATTACCTCTGGTGCAACAAAGTTTGCAGTATAACAAGGAGTCATGAGAAGACCATTTTCCGCTCTCAGCTGTTTTGCAAAGCCAAAATCACAAATTCGAATAGATTCTGGATTACCAGACTCATCCACATAAAGAATGTTGCTAGGTTTCAAGTCCCTGTGAACCACCTAAATTGAAATACAAATTAAAGAGTTAACATTAATGATTCATTTCTATTATAAAACGTTATTCACAAAATGTGAAGCAATGCATTTAACAAGATGATGAGTCCTGACCTTTAACTTATCCCAACATTATAAAATACTGATAATGTAAGTATAACTCTCTTACATAGACTCCAGGGCAAGGAGGAGGAGGAACAATAATAGTTACTTCTTCCCTCTTTATCCAACTGAGCAATTGGGTTAAGGATAAATACAAATAGAAACAATATCTATCTCCAAGTTATTCACTCATTCCATAATATTTACTGAGTGCCCATCATGTACTAGGGTATTCTATAAGGAACAGTAAACACTGGTGAACAAGAAACTTAAGATCCCAGCTGTTCTGTACTGAAAGCTTGCATGGTAAGTAAGAAGGGCAGAGAACAGACAGGTTGAGTAATGGGATGTAGGTGGAAAGGTCACTTTGAATAGCATTGTAAAAGAAGGTCTCTAGAGGGGATAGCATCTGATCTAAGACCTGAAGAACACAATAAATAAATCATAGTAACAGTGGGATAAAGTCATTCTAAGTAATGGGAATAGTGCATACAAGGTAGGCACATGACAAATATGTACTGACAGCAAAATGGAATAGGCATGTGTTGAGGAATAAAAGGGGAGAAGGGAAAAAATAAACCCTCTTTCAAGTATTGCCTTTTGAAGTGAATATGTCACACAAGCAAAAAGATATATTTTCTTTAGAGTTTTGTATTATTTTCCTCCTCTAGTAACCTACTTGAATACTTCTTTTATCATATGCTTCTCTGACAATTGCTTTTTAGACTTGTGTTTCTCCATCACCAAATTCTAAGTCGATACTCTAATCAATCATCTTAGTTTTAGTTCCTAACATCTAGAGTATTACTTCTCCTTCCTTACTATTTTACTAATTACTGATAAGATACTGGAAAAAGAATATAGAAGACTTAGATGACTGCAAAGTAATGAATTCTCCAGTAAATACTGAGTTCTGTTAATTTAAAGGTTCAATACTAGGCAAATCTTAATTAGCAGTTAGAAAGCTCTAGAAATGACAATTTCCATTTGTTAGCTTCTAAGGGCAAAGATAAAATGAGAATAAAGCTCTGAAAATGAACTCCTAAAAGAAGAACTCTTTTTTTGCATACACGTATCAAAATATGTTGTACACCATAAATATATACCATTTTATTTGTCAATTAAAATGTAAAGAAGAAGCAATCTTTGTTTCCTTTGCTTTCTATCCTTCTTCACTCCTGATTTCCTTTCCTCCCCCTTTCCCTCATTTTCTCCTTTCTTTCTTTCCTTCCCAGAATTCCTGATATTTTTGCTTTTTACTAAAATTTTGCCTACCCAGATCTCCTTTCTTTAAAAAAATATGATGATCTCATTCATCTTTTCTTGGAAAGCATAAGGATTTAGTATAACAAGCTAGGATTTCAAAGTAGTACTTCAAAGTTCAATGGAAAAAGTTTAATGTAGGAAAAACCAGTAGGATAATGAATCTAATTGTAGTTATTTCCTATTACATGCAGAAATTAACTCCCACATTTGTAATTTTAGCTAAAATATTAAGAAAAAGAAAGCATGTGCATGCTCGGGGGTGCGCGCGCGTGCACACACACACACATACACAAACACACATACACACACACACACACACCTATCTCTTAATAAAAACAATGTTAAAAATACATACCCCTTGTGCATGAAGATATTCAACAGTTTTGGTTATAGTAAACAGGACGGCACTGGCCTCTCGTTCAGAGAAAAATTTCTGTCTAAGAATTTTATCCAGCAATTCACCTCCTTTCATAAGTTCTGTTACTACATACACGTATTTCCCATCATCATACACCTGTAAAATCAAGTATCAAAATATAAAACATTATTTGAAGATTTATGTGTATCCCAAAGTTTAACACATTGAAGAGATATACTTTTTTATATTTATTTTTTAGTTGTAGTTGGACACAATACATTTATTTTATTTATTTATTTTTATGTAGTGCTGAGGATGGAACCCAGGGCCTCACACTTGCTAGGCGAGCACTCTACCGCTGAGCCACAACCCCAGCCCCCATTGAAGAGATATTAAAATTCATTTTATATTCAAACAAAATTTTGCTTTTCACAACCAGTGGAAGATATAAAATCTGTAAACAATTTTATATACCTAAAAATATGAAAACAAAAATTGATGAGATTGAATGTCAGAAAAATACCTTGTAATTTTCTTCTGTGAAACTTAAGTCATGGCAATCAAAACAACTATGGGTAGGATATGCAAAGGGGACACTGAACTTATATTCTCAGGGTTTGTTTCTCCTCTTGATCTCTTTCTATCTACTGATGACAGCAGGGACTGGTATCAAAAGTATATACTCCTGTGATTTTCCAATTTCTGCAAAGGCAGAACTTCTATAATTATATACACAGAATGAATGAATTATTCTGGCTTTGATTAAACTGAAAAAAACAAGTTATATGAAACAATTAGGAAGGAAGATTAATTATTAAAGATAAATTCCATCCAACCACAAAGAAGTGAACTCTTAACACAGAAATAGAAAGCTCACTGGAATTTTGTATTTATACCCCAGACAATCCCTAACTGAAATAATCCCTTTATTAAACTTAAGTTCTTTTTATTTCCTTCTCACTATATTGTTACTGGAAAACTTTAGGTAGCTCCATAAGCAGTACTAGATACTATATGGGTGCTAGGGCCTCAAGCACAGAGAAAATGAAGTTAAATATCTGCCCTCAAGTTTTCGTACTCTATATGGAGAAACAGACATATAAATAGGAGTAAAACTGTGCTGGAGATGCTGTAATAAAAGTTTGAGTAAAGGGGCTGGGGTTGTGAGTTAGCGGTAGAGTGCTCGCCTAGCATGTGTGGGGCCCTGGGTTCGATCCTCACACCACATAAAAATAAAATAAAGGTATTGTGTCCAAATACAAAAAAAAAAGTCTGAGTAAAATTTTAGCACATATATATATATATATATATATATATATATAGAGAGAGAGAGAGAGAGAGAGAGAGAGAGAGAGAGAGCACGCGCGCGCGCGCGCGCGCGCGCGCCAGCTAGCTTAGGGAGTTTCCAAGGCTAGGCTGAGAGAAAGTATTTCTAGATTTCCTTTTTAATTTTCTTGATTGCATTCTTGGAGATTATGTTTAGAGTCACTGTTCAGCTTCACACTTTGATGTGATTTAGTAAACATTTTTCTTCCAACAACAAGCAGAAATAAATCAATCTGATTAAATTGGAGTTTTTATAACACCCAGATATAGCCTTTGGGCCTATGTGAGCACCAGCAATAAGAGAGTGAGCTAAATGCTACCTGGGCAGTGCACGCCCTTTGCCGATACTGTTATAATATAAGCCATAGGAGATAAAGTAAGCAGGGTAACATGACAGCTAGGAAAGGATACCTCATTTGTCCTAAGGGTGGTGATGTACAGGGCAGACTTCCTGGATGAAGCAGTACTTTAGCACTGTCTTAAATGTGTGGTAGTTAGCCAAGCAAAGGAGGGGAATAGTGTTCCCAACTGAGGGAACCATAAATTCAAAGACAGAGGAATATGAGAAAAAGAGGCATGCTCAAAAAAATATATAGGGGCTGGGGATGTGGCTCAAGCGGTAGCGCGCTCGCCTGGCATGCATGCGGCTCGGGTTCGATCCTCAGCACCACATACAAAGATGTTGTGTCTGCCGAGAATTAAAATAAACATTAAAAAAAAATTCTCTCTCTCTCTTAAAAAAAAAAATACATATACATATATATACACACACACACAATATAGCATGGTTGGAGCATAGGGGGAAGTGTGACAACTGCTATAGAGGAAGGCAGGGGCTTGAAGGGCTGGGGAGTATGAATATAAATTGCAGAAAGGGAAGTAATATAGGTAGATAAGTGCATTTAGCTCTCTGGCAGTATTGTGTTAAACAGTTTGGGGAGTCTGCAGAGACTTGTCAATCCTGAATGTTAATTAATAGCAACATTAATATTGGACATTTATGTATATGTTCAAGCAAATACAGATACTAAAAAGAATGTTAAAATATTTTTCTTCTTATGACAAAAATAGAAAAGTATAGAAAATTTTTTTCTTTAGAAATGGAATTATGCTGCATATGTTGTACTCAAATCTACTTTTTAAATTTACTATATGGAGGCCTTTGTCTACCACATGATATTTTAAAATATGCCAAATGAGAGTTAGACAACTGAATCAAGTGATCCTTATTAATATACTTACATCCTTTAGAGTAATGATATTTGGATGCTGTCCATAACGAAGAAGGATCTCAATTTCTTCTGTTGGGTCTCTCTTGCTTTTATCAATAATCTAAAAGACAAATATTTATCACAAAATCTCATGAACATAAACTTTGAATGTTTGTAACCACAGACCTTAGGTATCATCTCTGTGTGTGTGTACACACGCGCATGCATGCGTGTGATGTGTATATGCCATTTATCATTAGGTGTGTTCAACTACCTGGCTAGACTGTTTAATTAGAAAGGTAGTCTTGATATAGATGGCAAGATTGTAAATGCTAACCCATGAGTCACATTCCCACCAATCTCTCCAGTGTAAATTTGTAGTAAGTTTAGGACTTACTAAAAACTGAAAAGCCTCAAGAAAAGATTCAAAAATACAGTTAACATATCTTTTCTTCTACCCTTGAACATCTTAAACTTTTGGGAATTCAGTTAATTTCTAGCCCTCTACCAATACAGATAATTAAGAGCTGGATGTATCTATAACACCACCACCAGCATCTGTTTATTGAACTAACATCATTTCTTTTAATACAGTTCTTTAATGAAATATCCCATTAGTTGTAAGCTACTTATAAAAATTAAGAGTTAAGTAGAACAAGCTTATTTTTGTAGCTAAATAGAACACTATGCAGAAAACCACACCTAGAATTTTACTTGTTTAGAATTAAGTTTAATTATTATAATAAAGCTCTTAAAATACTAACATAGCTTTCTAATCCTTGTATGTCAGCTGCTTCTTAAAACATTTCTCATAATGTTTTCATCTGTTAAAGTAATAAACTTGTCTTTTTAAAAAGACAAGTTTGGTTTCAATTCTGAAACAAATTTTGTGGCTTTCATATATTCAATTTTAAAACAGGTCAGTAGTAAATGTATTCAGTAAATACCCAATCACTCCAGCAACTTAGGAAAGAATGTAAATCAGTATTGAGTCCAATCTTTCTGAAATAGATTTAGTTGTAAAACAAAATACCCTATTTGGAGAACAGGGAAGACAATTCCACACCATCATTGAAACCAACTGCAAATGATAGTGTGGAATTAGGCAAATGGATAATTAAGAAGGTATACGAAATAGGCATGTTAAGTGAAGAGGCTCTTGGAAACCAGAACACATTGACAAGTGTCATTTTAACAACATAATCTGATCTGCTAATCTGAGCCCAGTTTACATCATACTTGTGCTTGTGGACCTCAGATTGGTAGTATTACAGTCATGTTGGGATTGAATTTATGAATTTAACTTAAGTCACAGGAATCTACAAATAGCTTGGAGAAAACTTCAAGGTTTTGAGCATACTGCTCCTGGTTTCTGCAATTCAAAGGGTGCCTCAGTCCATTTTTGTTTTTTTTCTGATGTGTTTAGGGTGGCAAGACATATCCTTAAGCTGTACATCAAGTGTATTATTCTTTATTTCTCCTTTTATGCAAACAACTTAAAAATTTCTATGTATTCTAGATTCTAATGAGAGCAATAGTAAGAAAATATGTTGTTATTTCTATGGTTCATCTTTATATCTGACAGAAAGCCTTATGGACACCGATGACTTTTTAAAGTATTTAGATCCAAGTTTGAAATAGTAATAACAATATTACTCTCTCAATAACTAAACATATTCTCATATTTATAAACTAGTACTAAGATTCAAGAAAAGTTGGAAGCTTTAGATATTAATTGAATTGCTTGAAAGGGAGAGCAGACATTACAATTCTGAGATGTGAAAAGGCAGGTACTTTGAATATAGTATTTGTTCATTCATAACTCAGATTTGAAAAATCAAACTTCATCACAGAACTAGGTGTCTTAGAAAATTCTGTCTTAGTACACTTGATGAAATGAAAATTGCTAATGATCATAAATTGTATGACCATGGCTCTTATTCTTTTGAGTCACAGATCCCTTTAGATGTAAAGACATTATGAAGGTTTTTGCCAGAAAAATGTAAACATACAAAATTTGGCACACAATTTTGGGGAATTCTCTGATACCCTGATGATAAAATGGGGACTTCTGAGAGTAAAAGGAATACTATTAAGAGTGAGAGGTACAAATTTGTATTACCCTGGGCTAACTGGATTATGAATATCTTATTTTTAGCCTCAGGGGAATTAATGGTTCCAGATTAAGATCTTTGAACACCACTAGCCCAGATATTCAAATTTATCTTAACTTTTTATAACAAAAGGTACTTTTACCAAAGAGTGTACTTTTTAACTGGTACTGAGAAGTATAAGAATGAACTTAAAGAGCCACAGTTTAAATCTAAATATACTTACCTTCACTGCAAACTCCATATTTGTGGCTTTATGTATACATCTCTTGCAAACAGAGTATGAGCCAACTCCAATATCTTCTTTTACTTCATATCCATCAGTAAACTGAATACTGTTCCTGTGCAACTGCTACGAACACAATTATTAACTGATGAAGAGTTCCATAATGCCTTTAGTGCATTTCATAACAAGGGAATATGTTACTTAGTATGCATTGCTGATGATAACTATAAATGTAAATGAATATTGGTGAAAATAAAAAATAATTATTTATAGCATTTATTCTACAAGTGCTGTTTTACCCTCCTGAGTTGCTCAGATTTCAGGCATGCACCACTGTACCAGGCAAAGTATACCTTTTTAAAAAGCTCATGATCAGAGAAAAGATAGGCTATTCAACAAATGATGCTGGGAAAAGTGGAAATCCGTATGTAATAGAATTAAAGTTAACTACTATCTCTCTCCCTGCACAAAAATCAACTCTAAGTAAATCAAAGACATAGTCCAGAAACCCTGTACATACTAAAGAAAATGTAGGCCCAACACTTCAACATATTTGCTCAGGAACTGACTTCCTTAGTAAGACTTCTATAGTGCAATAAATAAAATAAAAAAACAATAAATGGGATGACATTAAACTAAAAAGTTTCTTCACAGAAAAAGAACCAGTCAAGAGCATGAAGAGAGAGCCTATAGAACGGGAGACAATTTTTGCCATGTGCACCTCAGATAGGGCACTAATTTTCAGGACACAGAAAGAACTCAAGAAATTTAACACCAAGAAAAAAACTAAAGAACCCAATCAATAAATGGGCAAAAAACGTGAATAAACCCTTCTTAAAAGAACAAATATGAATGGTCAACAAATATATGAAAAAATGTTCAACATCTCCAGCAATTACAGAAATGTAAATTAAAACTACACTGAAATTTTATCTCATTCCAGTCAAAATGGCAGTTATCAAAAATACAAGGAACATTGGGCTGGAGATGTGGCTCAAGCGGTAGCGCGCTCGCCTGGCATGCGTGCGGCCCGGGTTCGATCCTCAGCACCACATACAAAGATGTTGTGTCCGCCGAATACTAGAAAATAAATATTAAAAAAATTCTCTCTCTCTCTTAAAAAAATACAAGGAACAATAAATGTTGGTGAGGATGTGGGAGAAGGGTACATTTGGGGCTGGGATTGTGGCTCAGTGGTAGAGCACTTGCCTAGCATGTGTGAGGCCCTGGGTTTGATCCTCAGCACCACATAAAAATAAAAAAATAAAATAAAGATAGTGTGTCCAGTTACAACTAAAAAATAAATATTAAAAATTTTTTAAAAAGGGCACACTTATACATTGTTGATGGGACTGCAAATTGGTGCAACCACTCTGGAAAATAGTATGGAGATTCCACAAAAAAGTAGGAATCTGGGGGCTGGGGGCTGGGGTTGTGGCTCAGTGGTAGAGTGCTTGCATAGCATGTGTGAGGCACTGTGTTTGATTCCCAGCACCACATAAACAAAACAAAACAAAAAACTAAATAAACAAAATAAAGCTTAAAAAAAGTAGGAATGGAACCACCATTTGATCCAGTGATCCCACTCCTTGGCATCTATCCAAAGAATTATAAAATCAACATACTACAGTGATGCATCCACACCAATGTTCATAGCAGCACAATTCATAATAGCTAAGCTAAGGAGCCAACCTAGGTGCCCCTCAATAGATGAATGGATAAAGAAATTGTGATATATATATACCATAAAATATTACTCAGGCATAAAGAATGACTTTATGACATTTGCCAGTCAATAGATGGATCTGGAGACCATCATGCTAAGTGAAATAAGGCAAACAACAATAAAGGGGAGGAGAGAGAAGTTCAATAGACAAAGGGTAATGAAGGTAAGGAAGGGGGATAGAAATAGGAAAGACAGCAGAATGAACCTAACATAATTTTCCCATGTACATGAGTGAATCCCACCATCATGTACCTCCACAAGAATGGGGTCCTAATTAGAATAAGATATAATCCATGGTTATATAATTTTATCAAAATGGTTTCTACTAACATCTATAACTAAAAAGAGCCAATTAAAAAAACTCATGTTCAAGGGGCTGGATCTCTGGCTCAGCAGTAGCCACTTGCCTGGCTAGTGTGAGGCACCTGGTTCAATTCTCAGCACCATGTAAAAACAAATAAAATAAAGATCTATCAACATTAAAAAAAATTCATGTTCAAGAGGAAATATTGAATATGTACAACAGAAAAAGGGGCCTATAGCTTTGTCTGTTATTTAGCCCCATTCCATTCCCCAAAGAGCTATAGGTTTTTTAAAGCACCTTTGCAAATAAGGAGACGTTTAAAACTTCTCATATACAAGAAAAGACTTATGAGAATTCAGAATTAGAACATCTGGATGGTTTAAGATGTACCACTTATTAGGTCATGTAACCTTGAACTTGTGTTTTCTCAAATGGTAATGATGAGGATTAAATGAAAATATCTGCAAGTGCTACCTGTTATTTTGGACTTTCAGTAGTCATGCTCTCCTTTCTTTACCCTTAAATCATAGTTTTATACAAATTCTCAGGAAAAAAAAAAAAACTGCTCATGAGTTAGGGACTAATAATGTCCGGTAGTTGACAATTAGCAAATTACTCTTTCCATAAAGGTAACTGAGGGAAGTTGTGTTGCCCTTATCTATACTGATATGAGATCCTCCGTGACTATGTGCTTTGCATAAAGTAGAACTTGAATTTTTTAGAAAATATGTTTATGGTTGCTATGTTAAGTATAGAAGTTATAATTTAAAAAACTTTCCACACACTTATGTGCTTGTATAGTAAAAGGGAAAGACTAATATAAGCTTTGTTTAAAAATGAGTGTTTAGGGTTGGCGGTGAGCTCTGTATTACATCACCTACCTAGTGTGCACGATGCCCTAGGTTTGATCCCCAGCAATACAAAAATAACTAAATAAACAACAACAACAAAAGCAAAACAACCAGTATTTATGGCTGGGGTGTAGCTCAGTAAGAGAGTACTTGCTTAGTGTGCATAAGGCCCTGGGTTCAATCCTCAGGACTGCAACAAACAAACAAACAATCAAAACCCCATAAATAAACCTAGTGTTTAAACTGATTCTCTAGAAAGCAGAAAGCAAACAAATGACTCATGAAAAAAATTTTAGAGCAATAGCAACTTGGGCTGGGGATGTAGCTTGGTGGTAGCATATTTAAGACCCTGGGTTTGGTCCCTAGTGTGTGCATACATGCTCACAGAGAAGCAACTTGGTCATTAAGCAAATGTAAGCATTAATTATACCCTAAAAATGATTTAATGCCTCAAAAGAGATTTAGTTCTGAGTGAAAAGATGAATTAAAATTTTAAAATTTTATTTTAATTTTTAGTTGACACAATAATTGTATGTATTTATGGCATACAGTATGACATTTCAATGTATGTATATGTGTTTACAATGTGTAATTAACACATCAGCATGAATTAAATTTGTCTTTCCATAATATTAGAATGAGAGGAAATATAATGGTTTGTATTATTTGTGTTCTTCAAACAATATTTAATTTACTACTCCAGCTTCCTGTTATAAACACACTCCAACCTGTCTCTATGGCCTTACCTACTTTTTCTGTAACTCTGATAAACAGCTAGGATGAAGAGTAGGGGGCACTCTAAGGCAATGCCCATAACCATTTCTTCCTAATGACAATGGGGGGCTCCAAAAGAACGAGGGCATAATTCTTGGAAAACTTAAGATCTGAGTTCATTTTTAGTTCTTATGCCTTTCTAAGGCAAAGATTGGTAAACTATGGCCTGTGGGCCAAATTTGGTTCATTGTATATTTTTTGCAAATAAAATTATATTGGCACTCAGTCATGCCCATTTGTTTATGGACTGTCTATAGCTGCTTTTGTGAGACAACAGTAGAGTTGATTAGTCATGAGAGAGAAAATATAGCCCATAAAACTTCAAATATCTATTTTCTGACCCTTTACAAAGTCTGTTGACCCCTATTCTAAGGCATCAGGAACCAGGAGACCTCAGCCCACCACAGCTAACCTGATAGAGGCAGGGAGTGAAACACATTGGCCTGATAAACATTTTGAGGCATGGGACAGGAGACAGAAAAAGTAGAAAGAATTCTATTTTCACATCACATAGGCATCTATTGGTTCATGCAATCTTTTCAATGACATATGAAAGGAATTTCTAAGAGTAATGCTAATAAGATAAAATATTTTAAATTGCTTACTTAATAGATAAAATCTAATCTTATTATTCATGTAAGAAACTATATCTTAAATTTCAAATTTAAAATTATTTAGGAATCCACTCACCTGAACAATTGAATGTACACCAACTGTTTGCATAGCTTGGCTTTCATCATCTGAGGTAATAGCAACAAAACTAAACCCCCGAAAAAGCTGATGTGCATTAGCACTAGGTGGAATGCCAGGTGAATCTGAAAAGAGGAAGAAATTACTAAGAATATTCCTTTGAAATGTAACTAAGGGAAGAATTGTTGATTTGTGTCCTTTATCACTTACTCTGGTGTTCTTCTCAGGCACCATGTACCTTCTGCTATCTAGGATACTTCAGTGAGGTGCTGTGTCAGATCTGTCCTGGTTACTCTACATCCTACTAGGATGTTACCACTCTAACATCCTACTCTCCAAAGCCTAGAAAATAAGTTTTTTTTTGTGGTGTTAAGGATTGAACCCAGGGCCTTGTGCATGAGAGGCAGGCATTCTACCAACCGAGCTATATCCCTAGCCCAAAAGTAACTAATTCTTTTGAAGAATATAATAAATTGAATTATTGGGTTAATAGTATTTGAAATTAGTGCCATCCTATTTAATCCCCTAGAACAATGGACAGTTTTATTATCTGAGTTGTTCAATATGGTAGCCAGTAGTCACATGAGGATACTGAGCATTTAAATGTGCCTATTGGGACTGTTTAATTTCAATTAATTTAAATTTAATTAGCCTCATGTGGCTACTCACTACCATACTGGACAGTGAAACCTTATATGATAATCTATCAATGCTATGGCTCCTAGTAAGTAGGGGAGACAGGTTGATATTTAGCAAATTTAGGGTCTTTTGTGAATACCATCAAGTGTTATCTTGGAAAAGATTTTCTGATTGAACAAGAAAATAATCTGCCATCTTATATTTGAGTGTTCATGTTTCCTCTTTACCTTTGGGAGTTTTTGCAGTAAACTCAGGATCAAAATAAAATGTATCTTCAGGTCTGCCAGTTGCAGGCTTAAAAGGTGGGTGAATTTCTCTTCTATACAGTTTCTGGAAGAAAAAAGAGAAACTTAGACATGTGTCAATTATAAACATATTTTAAACAAGTTTTTATCCTATACTTACATTCCAGTCTATTGTTGAGAAAAATGAATGCCTTTTAATTTCTTCAACTCCATCTGGTCCTGCTCCTATAAAAAATTGGTAGGTTCATTTCAAGGAGAAATGAATAAATAGATAATTATACATATTTACTTAGTTCTGATTTTGCTTTTAATATTTGTCTGAATATTTAATAATCCCATCACAAAAAAATCCACCCCACCCCCAAATAACTCCAAACACCAACACACACACAAAAGAAACAAACTAATTAGAATTTTTACCTAATCTGTTTGCAGGATTTCGTTTGAAAAGCATTCGTAAAAGACTCTGAGCTTCAGGACTCAAAAACTGTGGCATCCCAAGTTTGGCTCTAAATAATAGATCCACATAATAACATTTAATTTTTGAGACATCTTCATTTTTATTAAAAAATTTAGACTTTTTATATTGAAATACTCATAAATTCACACTCAGTTATAACAAACAATAGAGATCCTTTACCAAGTTTCCCCAATGATAACACTTTGAACTCTAATGTAACATCACAACCAGAATAATGACAATGCATGAATCTCATTAAGATGGCCCCAGTTTTATTTGCACTATGTGTTTATGTGTTTTTAGTTCTTTTGCCAGTTTTTTTTACTTTCCACATTTTTTATTAGTGCATTATAGTATGGACGTGCCATAGTTATTTTATCCATTTGCCTGTTGAAGGAATAAAACTGCTATGAATATTCATGTACAATTTTTAAATTTTAGCCCCCAAATCTTCTAATGGACTTCTTCATTTTCAGAAATTTGCAAAGAGTACTACTGTGAAAATAAGGTCATCTAAGCCTTAGTTCTGTTACTAAGAACTTTGTGATGCTGGGAAAACCAATCTCTTTCTGCTTGTCTTCATAAGCAAAGGAATGGGTGGGGGCTGGGGGTTTGGCTCAGTTGTAGAGTGACTTGCCTGGCATGCATGCAGTCCTGGGTTGTTAGATCCCTAGCACCACCAAAAAAGTAAATAAATAAAATAAATAAATAAAAGGAAGAAAAGAAAGAAAAGCAAAAGCAAAGGGATTGGATGCTAGATCAATGACCCTAAAACTATACACTTAGAAGTCTTTCTTGAAGGGAATTTTTAAAAATCCAATATTAAGAACGTGTACTTCATATGCTACTTTCCCCCTCTCAATCCCTTTAACAGCTCCTGCAGGGAAAGGGAACTGATTGATGGAAAAGGGGTTTGTGGAACACTGAAGACTGGCACACAGTCTGAAAACCACTGGCCTGAATGAGCTTATGGTCTGGTTCAGCTACAGTATATAATTTTCTTCTTTTTCCAAACCTACAAATTAAAGAAACCATGGTCCTGTAAGTATGAAAATAATAACAGAGTTAGAGAAAATGGCTAGAAGAGAAATTCCTATTTCAGAAATAGATCCATTTATTATTCACTGAGCTGTTACTGAGTTATTATGTGCCAGACAGTACTTAGTGCTATGGATACAGAACTAAATACAGCCCCCCCATGGTCAGTGGGGAAGATGAATATAGATAACCTTAGTACATTAGGAGGCAAACCTAGAAAAACATGGAAAGAATGCTAAGTGAACAGTAATGGATATCTAATTTAACATGGGACATTCTGAAAGGCCTTCAATGTAACCTAAAGGTTGAAAACTTAGTAATTTGGCCAGCATTCCCCCAAATTTTACTGAATAACATTAAGTTCCTCCAGACATATTGTACAAATAATAAAACATTTCATTAATATTATAGAATGAATATTACAGAATATGAATTTGTACAATGCTACCTATCATAGCCTTCTGTTGGAGACATAGAATAAAATACATTGCACATAAAAGGTTGAGAAATCTAGAGTCAAGAAATCATTCTTTTTTCTCTTCTATTTTTCTGGCACTAGGGATTGAACCTAGGGACATTATAACACTGATCTAAATTCCCAGCCCATTTTATTTTTTTGAGACAGGGTCTTGCCAAGTTGCCTAGGCTGTCCTCAAATCCTCCTGGGATTACAGGCATGTGCCACCACGCTGGGCTAAGAAACCATTATTTTCTGAACATTTGTCTCCAGCACCTCTTTTTCAGAGAATTCCTATTAAGTCTGTATAATTAGAGTTCTGGCCAGGGCAGCACACACCTGCAATTCAAGAGGCTAGAGTAGGAGGATTGCAAGTTCAAGACCAATCTGGGTAACTCAGCAATACCTTGTCTCAAAAGTAGAAAAGGGCTGAGGGTGTAGCTCCCGTAGTACAACACCTTCCCCCCCCCCCCAAAAAAAAATTAGGGTTATATTGAACAAAACTGAAGAAGCAGTGCTATATTAGGTATATTAGGCAGAGCTCTTGAAACAGTAGATTTTTTCCCCTAAGAAATAACTCCAAGGGTAGTAGAGAATGATCTGGATTGGGAAGAGGTGGTAGTTAGTAGATATTCTACATTGGAATGTGGATAAGAGGTATCCATGGCCTAAATGCTCAGACCCTGGGTTTAATCCTTAGCACCCACAACAACAAAACAAAAAGAATTCAATTGGCTGAATCACACTAATTATCAAATCTCACAAGTTCACCATAGTAAAAAAAAAAAGAAAAAGCAAAGTTAAAACAAACATTAAAAACCAAATTCATTAGACACCACTCCAAATGAAAGTTACTCAGGCTCTGAACAATTGGAAATAATTAAGAAAAATTAAGAAAATAATAAAGTATTCTGCGTTTCTTGGATGACCCTTAAAATTAACTAAACAGCCCCAGTCAATGAGAGAAAGTTCACTGTTTCAGAAAACATTTAACAAGTGAGAAAGGAATAATAGTAATAGAAAAATCACCATTTTTGAATCTTTTAAAAGATAATTGATTCAAGTACTTATTTTCAATGGATTAAAACATTAGACAAAAGCCTAACAGGGAACTTTGTAGTGGTGGGATCACAACTGGAATCACAGGAACTCATCACTGGTCGGACAACCTGGCATTGTAAACCTCTTAGCTTAACACAATAGGGAGCACTAAGTATAAGCTATGAAATAATCTTGCCAAAAGTTTAACAGAAAAGATGGAAGAGGGCTGGAGATGTGGCTCAGTTGTAGAGTATTATGCCTAGCATGCATGAGGCACTGGATCCTCAGCATTTGATCCCCAGCACCATAAAAAAAGAGGATAGAGAAACAAGTTAATATCACAAGGACAATAAAAAGGTTGTACATTCCTAAGAAAAGACTAATTGCTATGTAACCATGATAACAAGAGAACTATCAGAACTGGTTTTAAACCCTTACTTGATTCTCTCTTTTTTTAAATACTTATTTATTTTTTAGTTGTAGTTGGACACAATACCTTTATTTATTTATTTATTTATTTTTTTAATTTTTTTTTATTTTTTATTTTTTTTAATTTTTTATTGTTGGCTGTTCAAAACATTACATAGTTCTTGATATATCATATTTCACAATTTGATTCAAGTGGGTTATGAGCTCCCATTTTTACCCCATATACAGATTGCAGAATCACATCAGTTACACATCCATTGATTTACATATTGCCATACTAGTGTCTGTTGTATTCTGCTGCCTTTCCTATCCTCTACTATCCCCCCTCCCCTCGCCTCCCCTCCCCTCCCCTCCCCTCCCCTCCCCTCTTCTCTCTCTGCTCCCTCTACTGACATTCGTTTGTCCCCCTTATATTATTTTTCCCCTTCCCCTCACTTCCTCTTGTATGTACTTTTGTATAACTCTGAGGGTCTCCTTCCATTTCCATGCATTTTCCCTTCTCTCTCCCTTTCCCTCCCACCTCTCATCCCTGTTTAATGTTAATCTTCTTCTCCTGCTCTTCGACCCTACTCTGTTCTTAGTTACTCTCCTTATATCAAAGAAGACATTTGGCATTTGTTTTTTAGGGATTGGCTAGCTTCACTTAGCATAATCTGCTCTAATGCCATCCATTTCCCTGTAAATTCTATGATTTTGTCATTTTTTAATGCAGAGTAATACTCCATTGTGTATAAATGCCACATTTTTTTTATCCATTCATCCATTGAAGGGCATCTAGGTTGGTTCCACAGTCTAGCTATTGTGAATTGTGCTGCTATGAACATAGATGTAGCAGTGTCCCTGTAGCATGCTCTTTTTAGGTCTTTAGGGAATAGACCGAGAAGGGGAATAGCTGGGTCAAATGGTGGATCCATTCCCAGCTTTCCAAGAAATCTCCATACTGCTTTCCAAATTGGCTGCACCAATTTGCAGTCCCACCAGCAATGTACAAGTGTACCCTTTTCCCCACATCCTCGCCAGCACTTGTTGTTGTTTGACTTCATAATGGCTGCCAATCTAACTGGAGTGAGATGGTATCTTAGGGTGGTTTTGATTTGCATTTCTCTGACTGCTAGAGATGGTGAGCATTTTTTCATGTACTTGTTGATTGATTGTATGTCCTCCTCTGAGAAGTGTCTGTTCAGGTCCTTGGCCCATTTGTTGATTGGGTTGTTTGTTCTCTTATTGTCTAATTTTTTGAGTTCTTTGTATACTCTGGATATTAGGGCTCTATCTGAAGTGTGAGGAGTAAAGATTTGTTCCCAGGATGTAGGCTCCCTATTTACCTCTCTTATTGTTTCTTTTGCTGAGAAAAAAACTTTTTAGTTTGAGTAAGTCCCATTTGTTGATTCTAGATATTAACTTTTGTGCTATGGGTGTCCTATTGAGGAATTTGGAGCCCGACCCCACAGTATGTAGATCGTAGCCAACTTTTTCTTCTATCAGACGGCGTGTCTCTGATTTGATATCAAGCTCCTTGATCCATTTTGAATTCACTTTTGTGCATGGCGAGAGAAAGGGATTCAGTTTCATTTTGTTGCATATGGATTTCCAGTTTTCCCAGCACCATTTGTTGAAGATGCTATCCTTCCTCCATTGCATGCTTTTAGCCCCTTTATCAAATATAAGGTAGTTGTAGTTTTGTGGATTGGTTTCTGTGTCCTCTATTCTGTACCATTGGTCCACCCGCCTGTTTTGGTACCAGTACCATGCTGTTTTTGTTACTATTGCTCTGTAGTATAGTTTGAAGTCTGGTATCACTATACCGCCTGATTCACCCTTCCTGCTTAGCATTGTTTTTGCTATTCTGGGTCTTTTGTTTTTCCATATGAATTTCATGATTGCTTTCTCTATTTCTACAAGAAATGCCGTTGGGATTTTGATTGGCATTGCATTAAACCTGTAGAGAACTTTGGTAATATCGCCATTTTGATGATGTTAGTTCTGCCTATCCATGAACAGGGTATATTTTTCCATCTTCTAAGATCTTCTTCTATTTCTCTCTTTAGGGTTCTGTAGTTTTCATTGTATAAGTCTTTCACCTC